ACGTACATCCGTCATTCTTCATTTCCAAAACTCAGTTTTATACCTACCTGGACTCCCCAAGTCCTCCTAAAATGATTGATTATCCAAATTTCATAATTTTCATAACGACAATTTTAATAGAATTTTGAATAATCTCATCAGATGGCGTTTGAACACTTGTAATTCATGACAAGTCAGCTTTGAAATTAAAAAATGCATATAGACGTTAAAAATTCCGTTTCATACCTACCTGTATTTTCAAGTCCTCTCTTAAAGACGAATCGTCCAAATTTTATATTCTAAAACGACAAATGTTTTGAAATGTTTGATGAATCTCGGTAGATGGCCGCCAGATACGCCGAGGATTGCGTTACCAAAATGATGGTCAAAAATGGGCTCATTGTTTCGGCTACGCTCTCCTGTGTCTACCACCCGATCACAAATGTCTGAGGGTCTGAAATTATCATAATTAAGGACTGCCCAGTGCCTTCGAGATAATAATTTTATGGTATGAAATCAATTAGAAAGTGGTGAAGTCGAAAGTGAGGGTTTTTGCCGAAATTAGGAAAGCCCCAAACGTAAATTAAATGAGAGATTGTTGGTAATTGCAAAACCGGTTTTAAAGTAAAATACGCAAAAACTACAGTTTTAATTCCAATCAAAATATCATTAATGTACTGAATCAGTTTCACAATGAATTGAGCTCATGATATTTCAGTTAATTCAAATCCTTCAAAAACACTACACAAGAACTCTGCCGTGCTGAGCAAAAAGTTGGGTGAACATGCGATGCGAATGTCTCTAAGTTCACTTTCAGAAAAAACGTAAAATTATCGGGAAAGTTATGGAAATTTTTCATCGAAATCATCAAACACTTTAGTTTAAAATGCAAACAAACTTCTCTGATAAAGTAAGAGAAAAACAAGCGGGAAAGTTCTAATAGTGTCGTATTAGAAAAGCGCTCAGGTGTTAGTAAATGTATGTAATGAAGAAAGGACGTATAAACTCCGTCGACTTGGCTGGGAAATGGAAATAAAACATCAGCTGATAGCAAACAAAGGTTACCAAGGAAACCGTAAACGCGTATTTTTGTTTCCCGAAAATTATAGTCACCGTTGAGCTCATCAGGCGCGTTTTTTTTAGGCTTCATTTGAGTTCAACGATCAATTTCGATAAGAATTACTTTACCGCTAAGAAATTTTCTTATAGGCAAACGATCGAAACTACCTGCGCATTACGTTAAAAGTATAAAATACAGTTTTCACAGCTTTATTTATTTTAAAAATGGACCCCCCCCCAAAAGGCCTACACATCGAAGAGCTGGTGCGCCATTTAAACGCATTAGCACTAGTATACTAGTACGCAGAGGCAAGTCGAAATCAAAAAGCGCTGCCTATCGGCTGAGCGCTTAATACTCACAAATTATATCGAATGTTCGTGATTTGTCAAAGAAAGTTTGGCAACTTCCGAAGGCCCATACGACGTTTTTTCTTATCACGGCGGAATTGAATCGTTCAATTCTTAAGTGCAGGAATTAAGAGAGTATATATGAAAAGACGTCGCTGTTGGAAATTAATTTAGAAACTGAGGAACATTAAGCAGTGGCAAAGCATGAATGAATGAATGATCTCTAATCGATATTTTCCCATTTGAAGTCATGCTCAAGAATCGAAATGGTGTTCGTTTCAAACACCGTGTTTATCGACCCTTTTTACAGGTTTAAATGGCAGATTAATCGATAAATCGCAAAGCACGCCACGCCACTGGCGTTGAACAAATATCGTTTAATTAAAAAAAAAAAAAAAATGTAAAGCACAGTAGAACTGCGCTAACCATCCACAGCCTTTTCTTTTTCAAGTACAAATTTTACCTACGGTCTGCCTTCGGTTTTTCATGAAAGTAATTGAACCTCGAGAATTGTATTCGAGAATTGTATTGTATAATTGTATTGTATTATATTTTCTGTATGAACGACATATTAAATGAAGACTTCTAGCTCCTTATTTTTAAAATACTATTGCATCCGAACAATTGAATTCACACGGCTGTAATCTATGACCTAACTTTCCAACCTCTTCATCTCTTCTCCACCCTTTCCCTTCCTACCCTCTCCTCCTTTCTATCACACTTATCATAAGAAAATGCAAGATTAGAGTGTTGCAGGCTGAAATAATAAATGAGAAAACAAAGTTAGTTTAAAAGACAAAACTAGCGTACGAGGAAGGAACTCGGAGGGAAGCAGAGGTAGGTGGGAAGGGAAGTGGTGGGAGGGGAAAGAAAAGTTGGAGGAAATTAGTTCGTAGTTATCACAGTTGAAATGGAGAGGAAACAGTTCTACTTTTCTGCATCAATTGCAGCTCTTCTTAAATATTCGGGGACAGTCTCCCTACTACTCTTCTTAATTTATGCATACGTTGCATATCATATCATACTCTATTATATAAAACCAGAAGGATATAGCGTATCACGCTGAGAGTGTCACGTGAATCATGTTGTGAACCATGGTTTCTCCTCTCCTTCCCACTCCCCACCAGCGGGTCGAGTATTGAAATTGATAGACGAAGCTATAGACAAAGTGGGTTTGGAAGGATCCTTGTGGTGGAAGCGGGTGGTTGCAATGAACAAAGTAGGGAAGTAATAGACCACCCAAAACCCAAAACCCAAAACCCACGGGAGACTCGATGGTTAGTCCATCATTTTCTTCCTTAGTCAAAAGGAACCAATAGTTTCAACCAATAGGATCACTCCATACTCCTTATGTCTTCTTTGTTTATCGTTTTTGTCTATCAATGTGCAGTAATTTTAATGATATTTTCATTAACTCTTAGATGCCGAAGCCGGATCAAATCGACCCTAGGCTCGTTGAAAACACGTGCTCCGCGGAAAGTATGCGGCCGGTTAATACGAACTTTCGATGTGGGTCGGCAAATCTATCCTAAAATAGAATCAGACATGAGCCTGCCCTGGTAAAAATAATTGGCAGTAGAATCTGTGTTCCAAAATACCATACACCTAAAGCCGCTGTAAGATTTCCAATAGCTTCTGTAGCCGGCTGTACAATTTCTTTTAGCCTTTTATAGCCGATGGCGACTAAGCAACAGCCAGACGATAAAGTTTATGATAAACGTTACTAAATACGGATACTAGGACTAAGTTAGTTTTTGGACCACCGCTCTCTTCTTGTGCCGTAGTATCTTGATTTATTTTGCGAGGAGTGTTCCGTACTTTTGAAGGATGCCTGCCATTCTTAATATGTTGGAGCGCCTTCAATTTCTTATGATACTGTGCAATACCTCTGGTGTGAAATAGTTGCTTCAGACGCCGTGGCACGCTGCGGCCCGGCGGGCGGGCATTGGGCAATGCGTGAAGTATCCCTGTTAGGTTTGTAGGCGCTAGTGCGTCGCCGCTCCGTTTTGTGTTAGGCTCTAATATTTAATCTTGCGGAGCCAGCGTCTTTCAACTCATGATTTTGAAATGTTTGCACACTCTGTATGGATAATTATCATTTTAGTTTATGAAAAAAAATATGTTTTAAAGGAAAATATAATGTGTGTTTTGTATAAATATCAAGGTAGTTCCGTATCAAACTTAATGATTTCCAAAGCACGAGGAATTTCTACACAATTTTTTATAGCCTTTTATAGCCAATGGCGAAAAAGTGTAAAGCCCGGCGATAGGAACTATAGCCCGACTGTATACTTTTGTATAGCTTCGTATAGCCCGGCTGTATGATTTGCTCCGCTTTCTACAGCCAGCTATATGATTTTCAATTTAGTTTCGATTTTGATTTAGTCTGCTATAAGAACTCTTATGGTATTTTGAAACGCAGCTCCTATCGCCAATTTTTACCAGGGTGAAGAAAAATAGACAAAAATCGAGTGTCAACACAGTCAAAGACATAGGAGAAACGTATTCAGACCTCTTTTTTTAACTTTTCTCTGAAATCTGAGAGACACCTCATTTGTAGCATAAAGTGGAGCATTGAGAGTTCACGCCTCGAGCCATAGCACCTTCAATTTTGTAGGTGCAAAACGGACATTTATTAAGTACGAATAGCTGTATCTCTGCGCTGTCATTGACGTGCGTCCTTTCCTTGGCTTCAGTGGCGTGGCGTGAATTGCGAAGCATCGATTGTTATTCCATTTAAACCTATGGTAAAGAATCGATTATCAAGGTGTTCGCTTCGCAAACCCTGTTTATCGATCATTTTCCATAGGTTTAAATGGCATGACAATCGATGTATCGCAAAGCACGCAAGCACGTTTCCGAATTACGACGGTTTCGTTTGTCGCATTTACTTCAAGAGCTATGTGCATTGAATTTTGCAAAAAGGAACCAAGAGCATTTCAATGTTGCTAGGATTGTGCAACTTATATTCTTCACAATAAAATTACTGAAACCTCGCGAAAAATTAAATTAACTATGGTAATTTTCATATTGAATTTATAATTTATGACGTTTATCAGAGAGGAACCAACTCACATTTTCGAAAAAATTGAGTTGAAAATGGATTTGAGTTTCACTTTCCGTATGTTTTCCCCTGCCAAAAACTGAAAGTCTTATGACAATTTTTTTTTTTTTTTTTTGTGAAAAGAGGGGTTACAGTATATTTTTTACATTGAGCCTCATGCAGGAATAAAACTCCAAACTTCTATTACTTAGTTTCAAATTTATGTGGGTTCGTTCCTTTCTGATGAACTCGGTCCATATATGCTCCCTTTGATTCGCATGGCGATAAAATAATTTTTAATAACGCTTAATCATTATCAGCCTTACTTTTAGATGCTTTGTTTAACTTTCAAAAAATTCTGAAATCGACCGATCGGGTCTGAAACATGCGTCATTAGATACTGTATCTTCATGTAATGTAACATACAGATTCATTGGAGAGTGAGGTGAGTGGCTTCCTACAATGTCGACTATGTTTGCGTAGTTTTCCGAATTGACAGCTGCCAATCAGGCTCAGACCTTGAGGCACAAGTACATAAGCTCTGGACCCGTGAAGCGCAACCGACTCAGCTTTTCCTCGTCTTCGAGAACGGGTCCTTTCAACCTCGAAATGGCGTCGTTGAAGCTCCTAGTTTGTTGCGTGGCACTCGTAAGTTGTTTCCTATTCAAAATTACTTTCACGTGGGAAAATGAGTACTCACAGCCTCGGTCCTCATACCATTCAATTATTGGTTTCATACTCGTAAGAGTGCATCGTTATTAAATCTCACAAACGATTCTCAAATACTTACGATATAAAACCGCATTCTATCCTCAGTGGAGATTAAATATCTTAGAAACAACCAATGAGCTTCGGAGTTCGTTTCAGAGAAACCCAGTGGCACCATCGTGTTTCTAACAAAATTTCACGCAACCAAAAGTATTTGAATCACGATCACGCACTCCCCACTCCATTCGATCGGATTTCTTAGACAGAATATTGCGCAGCCTTGGGTCCTCGACTTGCACCGCGGGATTAGCTACGTCTAGAGCGCCGCACATTTGGACGTATTTCTGCCAAACGGAACTATGTGTATTAAGACATGAGCCCCGAGACCCATAAGAATATATCCATAACAGAGATCACGTTATAATGCACATAGTTCCGTCTGGCATAAAGGCGTCCATTTAGACCTAGGAGGATCATGAGACGGCCAAAAATCCAGGTTCCTTGTTAATGCGAGTCCGTGTACATACTCACGTTCTACCTATGCGTTAGTAGACGGCCGGCCGTATCTAGGAGTACCTCATAGAGTACATTGAGTCGTAATGTAAATGGGAGAGCTGGTGCCATGTTCTGCTCGACGAGTTCCGAGCCCGGTGTGCGGGTCACTTTTTCGATACATATTCGATCCAAAATGGCGTAATAATTGCACGGCCGGGTCCCCATGTATCGCAAACAATCGATTATGTATCGAAAAAGTGACCCGGCGCCGCACAGGAGTCTCGGAATTCGTGACCTGGAAATTACTTAAAAGTGGCGCCAGCTCTTTCACTTTCATTACGACTTTGTGTACTCTATGGAGTACCTCTCCCTCGCCCTGCTCTCGCTTCCAGTGCTGCCGTAATAGCGAAAGGAGCCGTAAGTGCAAAAATGAAGTTTTGAGAAAATAGGCTCAGAAGCTTCTGACCGGAACATTTTATTAAAGGAAGCCTCCGTTCTTTGTCAAATTGTCACTAATCGTCCAAAAGACTCCTAAAAATCGTTTGAATGATTAAAAATCGACTAATTTTATGTCAATCACATAAAAAAGATATTTTTAATTTTCATGTTAGCTTATTGTTAGGCAAGAAAATCGTAAGTGCTATTTGCTGCATGCTTCCGTGGTTGCATTTGGACACACAACAAACACATTTTCAGGTTAGAAATTGGCAGAAGAGGGCAGCACTTTACTTGAAAGCACTGTTTTCTTTAGTTCTCTGGAGGAATATTGTTTTTTACTGCGATCTTGCCTGCAACTACGTCATTTTTTGCACACTTACGGCTTTCTTCTCTGTCTCGTCTTCATGAACATAAGATGAATATCGCTGTTTCAGCTATTTCAGTGATTTCATCTAAAAGAGATCAGATGAATCTTGAAGGAAACTCGATTTCGAAAATTTGCCCCTCACTGCTCTCTTCGCTAGCACGGCAGTGTAGGGATGTTCATCTAATACTAACACTATTAAATACTAATACTATAGAATACTGTAAAATACTAATACCGTAACACTCAACTGTGGGGAGAAGAGGTCGAGGAGGGTGTCAAACCATTTTGTTTTTACGAGTGATAGGACAGGTATCTTCGTCCAAAAAGTGTTGCGGGGGGCAGAAAGTCAATAAATCCAACATTTAGCGTTACGTATTTTGTGAGCAGCCCTCTCCAAGCTCAAGTGTCCGACACTAGAGGCATCTGCACAACATTGCTCCATCAACTCACTACTCGCACGCACAAACAGCGTGTAGGGCGAGATCTGAGCCGCGGGTTTTTAATGTCCTGGTTACACGCTCAAATTTCCATCAATTTCTGATCAAATGATGACTGGTGCGCACCATCTACCATCAAATTTCTGCGGCCTGCAAAAATTTGATGGTAGATGATGGAGCTGTGAGGCTCATCATTCATCTGATTTTCACACAACCGTGCTTATTTCAGGCTTAATTCAATCAACACGCTGTTTTATTTAATTTTACTCGCCAATCTAGATAACTGTCGACCGCCATCTTGGTCATCATTTTGATTGGAATTTGACGGAAATTTGAGCGTGTAACCAGGCCATAAGCGCTCAACCGATTGGGAACGCTTTTTGATTTCAATCGCCTCTAGAATTCTTGTATAGTACAGTGGCAATGCGTTCAAGTGATCCACCAGCTCAACACTAAGATTTCATAGAATGGCATAAAATATTCAGAATAGATAAATCTGTGATACCTTTAATTGATGCTTCTGACTTCGATTCACGGAGGACGATAAGCGTTTTTCTAAAATTGGTCTTTTTCGCGATCCCGTTTCTTCCTGAAAATTAATCTGAAATTTCGGTGAGCGAGTTCATTCATCTCAATGGTGCTCATCTTATTGGGGGAACTTAAAAACGCGCCCACATGGAAGGAAGCTGAGCGCTCCCCCAATACGAACGTATCATAGCTTTCCCGCTTTTTTTCGACTCATCTCCTCACAGTCATTATTATTGTGATGTACTGGTATTCCATTTAATTTATAATGTACCTTTTTCTTCTCTTCTTGCAAAGCAAGAGAAGCACTTCCTCTTCCTATCCCCCCCCCCCTGGCAAGCCGCCCTTTCATGATAGAGCACATGTGGGTAGCTCTTAAGCGGCCATGGCTGCGACGGAAAAGTTTCCATGCGCATATGGCATCGAAACCAACTTCATGGAAATCAGCCGCATGGAAAATGTTAAGCAGGGTGGTTAGGGAAAAAGAGGCATCCCAAAGGATTATTTAAGGAAATAATTTTCGAAATCGTGAAAAATAAAATTAATTGAACTATTGGGAGTCCATGTTGGCGTTATCGTAGGTTAGAATTTTTTTGCCTGCATCGCATCGATAATGTTTCAAAAAAAACAGACTTTTTAATTTTACCCATTGCATTGAGCAGTGAAGCGAGAAAATAAACTGATCGTGAGATTATGTTTTATTATGAAAATTCTTCAGGGGAAAAGATAGCTGAATAACTGATAATATGTTAAATTCTAGCGAATTCAAACCGCAATTTTTCATGCGGCTGATTCCCATGCAAATTTCGCATGGAACATTTTTTACCAGGGTAGGATTGAACCTAGGTTTGCATATACGGTTAAGCTTCAGATGCATTTAAATTAATGTTAATTTTTTTAAATTTCTTTAGAGGAATTTTTTTTTGAAATTTCTTCTTTTTTTCCTCCGAAACCCCCCTGTCCCGGGTAGACTCTGGTCTCTTTCGGGAAAGTGTTAGACAATCCGCATAAACTTGTTTTATCCACACCTTTGGTGAATAACAATTGATAAAGTAATGAATTTCATGGATTTCCACAAACTGAATTTCTATCAGATGCCGTGTAAATTTTACAGGTGGTTGCCGCCGTGGTTGATGCACACCCGACTTGCAAGGAGTCCTGCAATCCCTGCAAACCGCGTCGCATCCACGAATGCCCCGACGAGTTCGTTGGTCGCCTCTTCCTCGAGATCGACGTCACCGTAAACTCGGACTACGATTGGCTCTCGAACCAGATCGAACTGATCGGCTGCAAGAGCGATGCCGAAGAGTACCAAATTATCATCGACCTCTACCAGCAACTCGAGCAAGCTAAGGGCTGCTTCGACACCTGCTACGAGGACATCTACACCGACATCTTCGGACTCGTTACCGAGTATCGTGAAAAGTAAGATCCTGTCTACTTAGAAGTTTCCCGCTCAAATCCTTTTTCCTTTTAGAGATGACAGGATATTCGACTTTGGTAAACGTCCAACTCTCTTTTAGACATTCTCGTCATCACAAAATAAAAGCTTTGTCGATTTACACATGCTCTGTCACAATGATACGTGAATTGTGGTCAACAATAAGTAGACTTCCTGATAGCTTCATGATAGACGAATCTTATTTTTCCCCATGGTCTAACCTAACAACCGCCAACCTCCCTTTCCAACCAATAGAATCCCTTAATGTTCCTTATGACGTCTTTGTCTATCGCTTTGTCTATCAATTGGACGTATTTCTGTCAAACGGAACTAAGCGCCAATTTGAGTTCCTTTTGAGGAATTTAGAATGCCGGGTAACGCGTTCTGTCAAACGGAGCCAAGCGCCAATTTGAGTTCCTTTTGAGGAATTTAGAATGCCGGGTAGCGCGTTCTGTCAAACGGAACTAAGCGCCATGGAAAAGCATTGCGAGTATAGGACGGAACAAGCCCGACGCCCGTTTCCGCCGCCAATCCAAGCCCCCCTCTACCCTCCTTCCCGTATGGCGCTTAGTTCCGTTTGATAGAAATACGTCCAAATTCAACATTCAGTCAGCTGGAAACAAAATATATAAATCATTCGAAACGTTCCAGGCTTTCTGTTGATTATTTTTAAGCTTCGAGTACCGTTTTCTTGTTTTTTTTAGTTATATTACCCGAACTATTTTTGTGTCTAACTGTTTTCTCTCTGATTTGTAGGTACTGTCCGTTGTCTATCTGCTACACCGAGCGCATCGTCTCAGCCCGGAAATGCGCGCGTAGTAGGCTGTTCCCGGAACTGTGCAAGTTCCGCGCCCTGTACTTGGATGTCATTGCCCGCATCGAGGAATTCTGCGGCAAGTACTCCATCGACTGCAAACCGCGTGCAATCGTCATGCCCCGCGAAGACGATTACACCTTCGACATCTATTTCCCGGCCAGTCCACGTTGCAACGACCTCACCCTCATCTACCAAAACTGCTTCAAAGACTACAAGTTCCTCTACAACTTCATCGAGAAAATCGATTTCCCCGACGATTCCCCACTGTGCGACCGTAGGCAGAAGCTTTACGAAGACATCCTCGCTATCTGGTAAGACATTCGCTTATTGTTAAGTACAGATTTTGCTTCCGGGCATTCAGCAGGAAGATGGAGGCTTGAAGTCGGAGCAAATGAGTAGCTTTCCGGAAAAAGGGCACATAGCAAAAAATTGCGTTTGAGAGAAATGCATTTGAAGTTATGATCATTACTCTATGGCCACTAACAGTGACTTTCGTCCGAAATTGGGAGTCCAAGCTGCGATCAAAGGTACCATCAGTGGCCAGAAATTAATGATGGAAACTTAAAATGCATTTTTCTCAAACGCTATTTTTTGCTATGTGCCCTTTTTCCGGAAAGCCCCTCAAATGTTGATGAACTGTTGGACATGTCGACGGTGTAAGTCGGCAATCACATAACTCGGTTGACGACGTCACAGACTTCCTGTCATACCTTATTTTTTAAATATGGAAAACTACTCAACGGCAATTCTTTAAAATTGTCGTGATTTTTCTTTTCTGTGCGAAGAAAATTCTGCAAAAACTTCAAGGAATGATGTCAATTTGTTCTCCTTTAAAAAAATAACATGGAGGCGGAGCTTTTCAGACACCGCAGATATGTGATTGCGGACTTACGCCGTCGATATCCTACAAAAATCCTTCTGACACTCGTGCACAACGATGTTAGATCAAAAATCAAAAAAGATGTTGCACGGCCATTCTCGCAGAATCTGAATCCCCCCTCCACCGCTTCCTATAAAAATAGGATGAAAAAATATTTATAAACATGAAGGTGGTATGTAATTCAGGATGAGGCAGCAGATTCAATTTCTTGAACTTTCTTCCACATCTTCATGATGGGAGTGAAGGAAGGATTACAATGAAAGAAAGGTTGGACAAATGTGAAAAGGTTTAGATTTTCTTATCGAGCAAAGATCAAAGAGTTTTGAATTTTCTCAAGTCATTTGAGATACATCGAGTTTTTAACTGACTCAAGTTTCCTGAGGGTGTTATGCCCTAAGCGAAAATGCCTAGAACGCACATCTTAAAAATTGTGTCCTGAGCTATAACAAACGCACGCGGTAATTTCGCACTAAAACGTCAGCGGCACGTTAAAAGCACGTTCCGATATGCAGATAGACTACAAATAGAGTTGCTCTGTTTTTCAGTTTGCACTGTTTCCTACCTCGGCCAGTTACATACTCATTGCTCGTTTTAATTTTTCAAATTTCAGCTATTGTTCCAGTTAAGAATGGGCATGTAATTGGCCAAAAACGTCCTGTTCGTGTTCATACTTTATTTTTTGTCTTTTCAACCCATTTGTTGTTTATTTATTGTATTTTATCGTTAAAAATTCAGGTTATTGCGTTGTGTCCCTCGTATCAATCACACTAAATGTACCTTTTATACTCTCTAGGATTGATTTCGCCAAGTTCCGCCAAGGTCTGGACTGCAAGTACTACCCACGCTTTATTGACTGCTGGGAGGACCAAGATCAAGTAGATCTCATCTACCTCGAAATCATCGCCGCACTCCGGCCATTCCAGGTGAAATTTGGAAACTGCTGGTTTGAATCCTACTTCGCGCTTCAGGACCTCTGCAACGAGGCTGACATCACCTTCGTCGACTACGTTGACTGCGAGAACTATTGCCCGCAGACCAACTGTCGCGGTAGCTTCCTGCCCTCCGAACTCTTCAGCAAGTACTTCAACAACATCCTGGTCACCTGCGGCATGGACTACTCCTCCTGTCTCAGACTGTGGAACGAGCTGGACTGCAAGCGTGACTCCAAGGAATGGAAGCGCCGTCAAGAGTGCTTGAAGAGGCTTAGAAGGAGACTTCGCGAAATTGAGCGTTGTGTCAACAGGCTCATTCGCGACATCATTTCGAAGTAAGTTTCCAAATTTTTCCTCGAGGATGGGGGAAAACCATGCAAAAGTTGTGCGTGTCATACTTACACGGAGAAAAAAACTTCGTGCGTGGGACCCGAAGTTTAGGTCGTATGGATCTCAGAAGTTTTCGGATTGAGCATCTGAACACTTTAAGTCCAGCTGCTGAGGTTTGAATCATACATCTGAAACTTCAGTTCTTACATCTGAAGTACTTCAGATGTAAGTACTGAAGTTTCAGGTGTGTGATCCGAACCCCGACAGCTAGACCTAAAGTGTTCGGGTGCTCAATCCGAAAACTTCAGAGATCCATATGACCTAAACTTCGGGTCCCAGGCACGATGTTTTTTTCTCCGTGTAATTGGACCGAAGTAAGCAGACATGAACCAAGCCACAACAGCTTTTGCCAAATTTTACTGGGCAATTTAGTTTTTATAAGAAAACGTTTGAGCCGCGGATTTCTTTAAAACTTTCAAGCGATTCCCTTCGTACTATGCAGGAAATTCACTGACATTTGCACAACAATCCTTAAAAATGTTTTGAGCACAGACATTACACCAGTTAAATGTGGCTATGGCTGACATTCGTTTATTTTTGCTAAATGCGGTTTATTTGCAATCAACTTTTCGATATAGCTTGAAATGTGTCGAATGACCGATTGAGACTACTCAATTTTTTAAACTTTTCCTTCAGTAGGGGAGGTCCTCAGGCCTCCTTGGATGGGGTTTCTCTCTGTGCTCCCCAGACCCCCTTTACGAGGTGCCTCTCCTCACCTTCTCCCCCGACAAGAGGTCCTTAGTGGCCCACCTATAAATGCCATGTAGCATCGAACGCAAGTGCAGCGCGGTAACGGGAATGATTTCGGAAGCGTTGCTCCGTAAATTTAACAGCTGCACCAAATCAATCATCATCAAATCAATCTTTTGGCTCTGACCCTTTCCAAGAATCATCTCATAAGTTAAAATATTTCAACGTGAATTTACTTACTCAAATTTTAGTAAAGTCAGTTAAAAGTTGTGATAAGGTTATGGCGTTGAATTACTGATTGATTGATTTTGCCTATTACAAGATCAATTATTCTTGTAAATTGTCAACACCGTTTTTCTTCCACTTTAACGTAAGTACGTGAGACAACGGATGTAAATTGAGGATAAGAAGAAGGCTCTTAACTTGCGAGAATCATCACTAAGCTGGCTACACGTATATCTGTAGTCAACCGAGTTGAATCTGAAGAAGTATACGTTCTTCGTCTTCTAATTTGATAGAAAAATACATTCAACTGATACCTTTTTAACGGCCTCTTGGTATTCACAATGATCTCCCGATTAAAAAATATTCAAGTTTCTACCCGAATTGTAGTAATAGTTTGATGATTGACACCTTTGTTTTGTACCCAAAATTCTAATTTTTGTATTTTTGTATTTTTTTTTTTTTTTTTTTTTTTTTTTTTTTTTTTTTTTTTTTTTTTTTTTTTTTTTTTTTTTTTTGTAAATCAGGATCAACACCGACTTCATCGATTGCCTGGACAACTTCGACACTGAGCAACGCACCTACATCGATGAGGTGATCACCAACTGCAACAACGAATTATGGCCACTCATCATTGAGTTCCGTCAAGACTATAACTATAACGACGACTGCCTTCAGCCAATTCTCAACGAGCGTGGAATCGCTAATGTCGTCACCCGCAGCATTATCCCGACCCAGACCCCATGCTACGACGTTTCTCTGTACTGTTTCGACGAAGACATTAGGGAGTCCGTCCAATGGTTCGAAGGCGTTATCCGCAGCAACTTCTACGGCCCTACGGCCGACCTTATCCAGGTTAGTTCCAAAACACTTGAATTCATTGTATATTTCTTAGGCTGTGTTATTTCCGGGTAGCTCAGTTAGAAGTCTAATCAAACACATGGTATGATGACATATCAACGACGGTAGTTGAAAATGTGTTTGAATGTTCCTAGGTGAAATGAATGGGCACGTAATTCCCATACGAAATTTTCCAAGGTTCTTTTGAAATTTTGTAGAGATTTTGGCTTATCTTTAATGACAATCTCAATATTTTTGTAGGTTCACCCGAAATAATATGTGATTGGTATAATTTTTTGGTAAAATATTTGAAGAAAGGAAGAAAAAAAGGAAACAAAAATGATTGATGAAAAGTGCTTCTTATCACGTTAAGCATAGTTATTAAATTTTGATTAAATTTTTGGTGTTTTTCACAATTTTTTCGATGAAGAACCTTCATGATTCTCAATTACCTTAATGATAAATCCTCCTAATCGCTAGCTGCTAATTTGTCTCTTAACATTTGAAATATTGAAACTCGTCAATCAGAGGAATACGATAGGATTACAGTAAAATGGATTCATGTGATTGGTCGATTGTATTACAAAATTATTGTTTTAAATTTGTTCACCCTTCATTGTTGAAAAAATGATTGGTTGTCAGGAATGACAGTCAATTAAGTCATTTGTCCATTATCCTACACGGACTATTCACCAGACAAAAAAAAGAACGAATGATCTTTATCGACGCGGGAGACAGAAATTGATCGGAGGTAAGTATGGATGTGTCTAAGTAGTCTCTTAAGCGCTGTCTCCATTCGTCAAAATGGAAGCTCAAAATGAATCGATTTCAACAATAAGTGCCTTTAAGTCGGGACTGGATACGATTAACGAGTGTTGCAACTCAAAATAGAGCGGCACGACTCTATGTTGATCAACATTCGCGAACAGATTGTATTTATCGATTCATTTTGAGCTTCCATTTTGACGCCATTTAGACAAATGGACACAGGGCTTTATGTGTTAATATATTGCATTTTGACAGATTCGTTTTGACGAGGGCTGTGAGGAATACAAGCTTCGTTGCAAGTGCTTGAAGGACCTGGAGAGCATCTGGTTGGCCTACCGCAAATGCCTGAACGAGCTTTTCCGCAAGCTGATCAAGCTCATCTGCAAGCGCAAGTGCAAGATCGGATCCGACGAGTACAGGCGCGAGATCAAGCGCATCGCCGAATGGCTCCGCCCGCGCCTCGTCAACATGATCGACCGATTCAAGAGCACCTGTTGCGAAATCAACGGAATCCTAGACAACCTTTACTCCAGCAACACCAACCAGGCCTGCACCCGCTCTTACAAGTACACCGAGGCTGAGTTCTCCTTCCAGATCTCCGGCTCCGTCAAAGCTTGTTAAATGCCCTTATCATCCCCGTCAGTGCCCGCAATAATTCAAAAAAAGCAAGCGAAAAACCTTGAATTTTTTGTGCTCTTCCATCTCATTCAAAATACTCATCACACGTTTACATAGGTTTGCAAAAATGGAACAAAAAAATGAAAAAATCCCTTATCTAATGACTGTTGAAGCATACACAACTTAGGAGAGTACAAAAGCTAAAATTCTTAAAGCATTTTTGCAACTTTTTAAAGCATATTTGCAACAAAAAAAAAAAAAAAAAAAAAAAAAAAAAAAAAAAAAAAAAAAAAAAAAAAAATGATCCCATAACTGTTGAAGCGTAGACAACTTTGGAGATTAAAAAATCTAAAATTAATATTTTTTGAAACATATTTACAAAATATCGAGCTAATTTCTTTGATGATACCTTGATGCCCTCCTCGGGAAAAAGGGGGGGAAAAGGATGGAAGGTGGTGAGAGGGGGGTTGACAACATAATGAAAGGGTCATTCTAAAAACACAGATTGTTTAGCACTCTCAGTGCCTACAAATGTCGAAAATGTGAACAAAAAATCGTTAGTCAGTTTCACTCGCCTACGTGACAGTATTACCAATTTATGGACTTTTACGAGTGACACGTAGGTCCAGTCGATTGGCATGTATATATAATGTAGAGTTTCAGTAAAAAGAGAGCAATCGCATCTTATAGTACAGTATGATTTTTTTTTTACTTCATCACCTTCATTAAAAAGTGTTTAACCCTTAGATGCTCCTACTGGGTCAAAGAGCCGAGACTTGCTCAAAACACGTGACTCGGGTTGTATGGAGCCGGTACTTATGAGCTTTAGTTATAGATCTGCAAGTACATCTAACAAAAGAATTAGACATCAGATTGGAAAAAAAGAAAAAGTTGCATGCCAACACAAATGAAGATAGGAGCATCGTCAGGACGTCAGGCCTGGTTTTTAACTTGTCTCCCAAGTCTGAGCGACACACCTCATTGCAGGAATGCAGCATAGAGTGAAGTATTACGAGTTCACACCTCGCGTCATCGCGCCTTCAATTTTACAGATGCAACACGAGCATCCATCAAGCACGAATAGTTGTATTCCTGCACCGACATCAACGCGCGTCCTTTCCCTCGCTTTATTTATATCTATATTGTGTTCGTTCCATTTACCTTATTTGTAACGGTGCTTCAAGGACTACGTTAGCAGCACAGCCGAAAATAGAATGGACACATTTAAGCCTCGTTTTATGGCCACATCGTACGATACTTTACCTACAACCTAAAAGACGTCAGACAAGACTTGTTCCCAACCGGTTTTCGGTTTTTCATTTCATTTCATTTTGTTTCCAAAACTCCTTTTATGCACGTACATGTCTTCCACCTATATAATATAGATAATCAAGCAATATTTTGCTGGGATTGGCAATTTTTCCTTCTTTTTCTCTCACGCATTATACTCTATATTTATAAGATAACAAGAGAGAAAAAAATGCGAGCTGCTGCCAATCAATGAAAAAGGAAAAAAAGAGGAGGTAGGTAAGAGAACAGAGGGGGAAGAGGGGCGCTAGGGGGTGAAAATGAGGGGGAGGAATGAGAGCGAAAGGGGAAAGAAAGAGACAAAACCGGGAAAATAGATACGAAATGAAACCTTAAATCATGCTCATATAACTCTGCGTTTAACAGAAGTCCAGCGATCAAGTTATTACGACCAAACAAATGCTCGGACGCCCAAAATAAGTTTTTATAGTTGTATTAAACGCAGAATTGGGCCGACATTATACTTTTTCCGCCCTCACAGATGGTATCCGATATTGGACATTCAGCCTTATTTTTTCCTTATGTCACTGGAGCGCCGCGCGCCGCCGTTTTGAGGAAAAAAGCTTGAGACGATCCGGCGGCTCAAGAAGCGAGTCGTGTATCAAAGGCAGCCCAGTCGAATCCCAAAGGTCTAGGGGCGGTGGAGCCTCTTGACTGACTGTGGTTCGACTAACGAGTCCACGGCAGTTAGTTAAGAATGAACCTTAGATACTCTCTGACGTCCTTTAAACCTAAGTTCCTGATGATCCTCTCCTGGCACTTTGAACTCTCGGATTTAAGCCCCCTCCCCCCTCTCATTCAGCTATCGAGTGACGTCATTACCTGACGCTTTGCACTCATTAAGAAGTCGCTGAAAATATCACCGAGTTTTAGGATGACATCATTGCACGGCGCCTTCCGTTGATTACCGCTCGCTTGAATGGAGTCGGGGATAATTTTCGGATCCATCACCGAGCAGCCAAATGATTAGCTTTGATTAAAAGAAGCGTTGTTTTTCCAACCGTCTGTGCAAATAGACGAGGTTTTTTTCTGTGTCTAGGTGAGCATGTGTGAAAATTAGCTTCACGCAAATGAGTTAGCTAGGCATTGTTATCGGTTTGATGGAGATGGATTTTAAACCTGACGAATTTGAGAATAATGGAATTTTCAAAGTGCTTATAATTTAGAACAAAAGTTAGGCCATTATAGCCTGGTACTGCTTACATAGTTTTAGTAGAGGCACGAAGTAGACTGCGCATTTGGATATTGAAGGGAAGCACGAGTTTTATGCTGAAATGAGATATTGTATATGAGGTATCGCTGGATTTTGCAACCCAGTTTGTCAGTGTATATTGCAGAAACTAGACTCCCTAATTTGCAACCTGCACGCAAGTAAAGCTTTTTCGCTAAATGCTGACACGCTTTTAAATACTTGGATGATAAGCAGGGATGAAAAGAAAATATAAAATAAAAAACAGAAAAAAACCCTTTTAATTTGTCAATAGACGTGTTAGATAACGATTGTATAAAGTTTAATCATAATTTGAATAGCATCATTTTTTTTCGTACTACCCCTATTGTTGAGAAAACCATTTTTCCATCGGGAAATTTTACCTAACAAAGATTCATTTCCCCCCATTTTTTGGCCAAATTACTTCTTACATTTCCGTTATGATCATAATTTGGCACCATTCGATGTGTACATGAGCTGTCTAGACAGTATGCGGTTGACGGCATTCCAAAACTTATAGATTTGTTTACGTCACCAATTGCTCTGATTACACCTAATTTTGATCACTTAATATTTGCGCGAGTAAAACATTTTTGTTTTCGAACTTCAAGGACAGATTACTAACCTAACATTGGCTGCAGGTGTTTCGCAATCGTCCTATTTTAGTCGCCCACGAGGTAAAAGTTTACGGTGACATTGACAAGCAAAAATGATAATTTGAATAATGGATAGTAACCGAATGTACTTGAGATACGCACTTTAAAAAAATCGCACATTTGTTTTTTTTCCCTTTGAGCATTTCAAATTTTAGTGTGGCGCACGTACAATATTAAGCATAACTAAGAAAATCAGGACCAAAGAATAAAAAAGTAAAAGCACATATAAACAATTATTGTGTTAAACATTAATTGTAATGCATTTTAAAATCAATTATATTTCTTACCGTCCAATGTCAATTAGTAAGAAATTACTAAAAATAGTGTCAAACCCGCAAAAATACCGCCTACATCCTACAAGACTGCTGTGATGATTCATGCAATGCGCGTACACGGACTGCAGGGATACTTCACGCATTGCACGTAGACCATGTCCTTACCCGCAATGCGGGTAGTATCCATGCAGTCTCGTAGGCGCTAAATAAGCGTATCGCGTTGGTCTCACTGAGATTGGAAGCGCTAATATTTCAACTCACGGAGTCAGCGTTCTTCAACTCGTGGTCTTGAAATGTTGGCACACTTGATTGTCATTTAAATTGATAAAAAAAATTAAGTAATGAAGGAAAAAAATACTGTGTGTTTTGCAACTTTTAAGACGGCTCCGCGCCAAACTCATTGATTGTCAAAACACCATTCCGCATTTTAAATTCAACATTTCAGATTGAATATATTCTTTTTTTTTTTTGAAGAAAATTCTTTTAATTGAAAATCAAATGAATGAATATTAAGCATAACGAAATCAGGCGATCAAACGGAGCACCATTTGGCAAAAAATCCCAAATGTTGTATTTGTACCTGCCGTATTCTCTATTAAAAATGAATTATTTAGGAGGATCTTAATGGTTTCGGAACGAAAACCGCCAGTGGTGAAATTTGGAAAGGAAAAATAGTTTCACAGCGGAAGTGATATACATACTTTCCCTCCTTTTAACTATTTCGTCCCTTCATTCACGATTAAAACAGACATACGCGCCGACGGAGCAATATATCCGTGTTCGAGTCATGAAAAATGAAAAACTCATGATTTCCACTCATTCAACTGAAAATTGAATGCGTTTACAACTCGCTTGTACAAAACGTTGCTACTTTGTCATACAGAATAGGTTAAATGGAACACGTTTAGAAGAAAGGAACCGAGCCAAATCATCTATTGCCAAATTCAACTGGGCAATTTAATTTTTCACGAGAGAACGTTTTCGTAAATTCCTTTGAAAATTTTAAGGAATTTGCTTCGTACTATGCAGAAAATTCACTGAAATTTGCCCACAAATCCGCTCAACCTTTTTTAATGCAAGAAATTAAATTGCCCAGTTACATTTGGCAATAGCTGATGTGCCTTGGTTCCTTTCTGCTGAACGCGGTTCAAATGCAACGTTGTAAGGTCTGTATATTGCTTCATTGAAAGTCTACGCTATTGACAAATTTTGATAGGAGGATCTACCTGATTATCGACAGCGTTGCCATTCCCATTCCCGTTGCTGATTTCGTTATCGTTGATGGAGCGCTCCAGACACTTCTCGGCCTCGGTGCAGTTGACGAAGCTGGCAGCATCCTCCGCCTCACTCCTGTTTCCGCTTCCGTCGGCCTCCCCCGGGCGGAAGTACCGTCGCTCATTTCCCGCCTCGTCCTCACTTCCGGGCTCCTCTGTCGCACTTCCGGCTTCGGCCGTCTGTCGCGTTTGGTTGCGGTACCGTTTCCGGCCCCCGCCGCGGAACCGCGCGATCAACACCGTTTCCGGTGTCCTCAACCTCATTTCCGGGTTTCTCATCTCCGCGGTCAGCAGCGTTCGACTGACCGAATGCATCGTCCGCTCAACGCTCACAGGTGAAACGCTGGCTACCTGAGAAGTGTTCACATGTTGAAAATTCGGATCGTCAACTATTCGCGAATCATTTTTACGAGCCGATTTGTAACTCAACATGACGTTCATTGAGGGAGCATCGATTTTCTTAAAAATTTGCACATTTGATTTAAACGGAGCTTCAGTACTAGTTCTAGAAGTCGCTGATTTGCCCAACGATTTATTCGCCTCCATCGAAATATTTAATGCTCTTGCAATGGAAGACTTATTAGAGTACGAATTTCTTTTACCGAATGACGGCAAAGTCATTGTATTTACTGAAATTTCCTGTAATTTTCCATTTTCGGGTTTCAAACTGGAGGTGAAACCAACTTTTGAACTTTCAGGGAAAACGGCAGGCCGCGATTCGTCAGATGGTTTCTCGCTCGTTGGCCACGCAGGATAACGCAAACCGGAAATAGATATGTGCTCGTCATTTCTTGAGAGTTCGCTCAAAAATTTTACACTAGAAAGACCGTCTAAGTTTGAGTTATTTTGCTCGTCTATCATTAAATACCTTCTGCTAACACGATCACCAGTAGACGAGTTCGCCAAAGATTCGTTCGTGTTGTTATCAGAGGCAACTTTTCCATTATTAGCGGTCATTTCCGGTGCCTCCGGCTCAACGGAAGTGACCCGCGAGTCACCATTCAGGGCTTGTCGTTTCCGGCGCTTGTAGGCGTGGGGATCACCGATGACGGCCCTGAATGCGGCTACAACTTGAGGCACGTAGTCGGTGGTGTTCTCCTTCGGGAACATGCTCGTGTTCGTGGGAGCTCCCGTGGGAGGCGAGGCTGGCGGATCTCCATTCGGCAACGGGCCAGGTCGCAGCGTGAAACAAACCAGCGAGACCAAGAAGTAGATGAGGAACTGGAAGAATTGGCGATAGAACCTGAAAAGGAAAAAAAAGTATTACTCGAGTTGTTTTATCCTCTCTATTCTCGTAGAGAGAAAAAAGGTGGTGTTTGCATCTTGAGGTTTGTTTACCCTGTGACGTAGGTTGGTACAACCTGGCCAGCAAGATCCGGAATTCGAAGTATGAAAAACGGACCATAATGTCCAATTTTTTTGCTTAAGTCAACTCATGATATAATTTCAAGCACTATTTATAGAATGACTTTTTTTCCATGAATTACACCTTTTCCAAGAAAATCGATGATAAACTCGTTGTACCAACCTACGTTATCCAAGATGCCCGAAATGCAAACACTCCTTTTTTTCTCTATGCTCTATTCTAATAAAATCATTTTTAAGACACTCGATGGGCTGGTGTGAGGAAGGGGAGTTCAAAATCCTTAAGTGGGAAATTCCTGTTAGTTGAGTCTTGCCCATAAGTGGGTTGACTGAGGTTTTTTTTTTTTTTTTAAATTCTTAATAATACTGTGGTTTTTTCTCGTTCGAGATTTCGCTGGCCGCGAAGCGGGCTTTGGCCTCGGGATTTGGGCCGCGCAGTGGTCACGGGGTGGAGCCCCTTAATTACAAAATAAACCCCATGTTTTACCAATATGAATAAGCGCTAAAAATTTTGGCACCTGCCACCCTCAACTTTTTCAGGAACCGTCAGCTAATCAGAGACGACCGACTTTAGCTTTTTCAAAGTAGGCGGGGTTACGCCGGCCGTAAATTTAAATTATACAGCCCTTGTTTTCTCTTTGAGTTAAATTCTCCGAATTCGAAGCGAGTCTCTCTCGATAAGCTAGCTTTATAAACATTGCACTTCCGCTCCCGTATCGATGTGCTCAAAACTCAAAGGGAGATCCAAAATTAATTAAAGTGCACTGTTTACGGTGGACGCTGTCCCAAACGTGATCACGATGTAAACCCAATTTCACCTGACTAAGTCGGCGACTAAAGGGACTTCCAAATAATGTTGCGTGCAGGCACCCTAAATGTAATAATGTAACCGTATATTGTTTATATTTACAGCTTCATATCAGTAACTGTATTTGTTCAATACCTATCTCTATATTATACAGCTACAAGCAAAATCTTGGAAGCATTATTTCTGACGAACTGCCGGACCGATAAGGATGCTCCTTATATGTATGTCATCCGTAGTAGATGTAGATGTGCAAAAAATTATGAAACCCCGAACTTTTAATGTTGTAGAGCTTTTAAAGCTCATGTCACTTAAGTCCAATGTTAATAGCGTGAGAGATACGTCGTTTCCGCTAGAAACGTCAAGGTGTGGGATTCTACCTGAGTGACTCGAATAAACAATAAAACAATGGAAAAGCTCGTGAAGGGCTCCTCATTCGAAGAGTTGAGGTACGGTGCATCGCTCAGGGTTCAAGGTTCAAGGTCCAAGGTATAAGGTTTAACTCAATTTTTTCTGCATTTTTCCGGCTTCGATTTGTGGCATTAGTCAATTTACTTGATTGCTGAATTTCTATTAATATTTACAGCAGATAAACAGTAGATACAAAGTGAGAAGGCAGGCGCTGCGTCGCGTCGGGACGGACCAAATATTATTAACTCTTAACGGTCGAAATCCGTTTTTTTTTTTTAAATTAAGTATTTAAAAATAACATAATAAATGGAAATTTCTCCAGTAAGTGGACTGTGAAATTATGTACATCCAGCTATTCCTCATCATTTACAAATCTGAGTATTACGTCAAAAATTTTGAAATCGATGCAGCTCGAACACAAAATGGTGTATTAAAATGGAAGAACATTTTTGCCTATACATATGCGTATAGGGCCCGCGAAGCGGGCCTGAGGGCGCGAGGCGCCCTCCCGGGGGTTGGGCCGCGTAGCGGTCAGGGGGCAGGGCCCCCTAGTACATACATACAGAAAAGAGGGTAAAAGAAGAAGAAAAACTCGGCAGGGTTTTTGAAAAATAAAGAAAAGTACCTTCAAAAAGTTTCATTTTACATAGAGTAAAAAATTAGGTGATCAGTTCAACGGAATTTTAATGCTATTTTTAATTAACGCCGAGGAAGGGTCGGAATGTTTAAAAAATCAATGTAGACGTACTATCACTCTTTTAAAACTCATCCTGATTTTTTATTTTATGATTTTCAGGGCTATACCCTTCGATTTTCTTTTTAATTAGACTATGCTCCAAAACGTCGTCTCCTGGATGAAGGACCGTAACTCCAATCCGAGGTTGCCAAATTGAATCCAACAATCAATTTATTTTACAAAAATGTAAGGGTGCAATTTTTATCCAAATTTGTCTGATTTTTGCATGAAATGGGAAGAAAATTCAGTGAAATTTTCAGTCAGAAATGCCCAAGATTTTTCCGGTTGGAATTCAATTTACGAAGGGAAATTCGGCAACATTGAAATGTAGTTACGTTCTTTCGTGAGGAGAACGACGAAAAGTCCGAGCTCTGTAGCGTCTGTTGAGGTCGTTGATAAGACATATCGTTGGCCTATCAGACGGCTACTATAAGACAATTGATAAGTATAAGATTTAGTTCAGAAGCACGGTCCAATTTCAGGGTGTACTACGGCAGGTTCCTCGCCAGTTGCTGTGGCCTATTGAATTGAGGGCGTCTCGCCACGCCGCACGGTGAAACGAGCTAATCAAAGAGGTCGGACATGGAATTTTTGGATAAAATTTCAAATTTTCATATTCATTTCGTCACAAGTTCAATTTCAAGGGGTGTTTCTGAAAGAAAGTTTCACGAAAAAACCTATGGAACCTATGAAAAATGTAAGCTTTCAAAGTTTCCAAATTTTCTCCAACTTCTCCTATTCACTCGTTCCACTGTGCGCCGGCCATCCTAGCCCTCACTTACAAACTTAGTAATTGAAAAATGCAACGTTCAGCACAATTTCAATGTTATATTTTGAATAGAACAATATTGAGGCGTATAATTTTCATTTTTCGAACTGATGTTGATATATAGTTTATTCACAGTTATTTATATATTTTTCATATTTGCTAGTTTGTAATGTTAATACATTTTTGTTGCTTATATTCTTCTGCTTCAACTTTAAAAAAATTGCAAAAAATAGTAGTTTCAGCATTAATGTTTTTAAAAAATCCAATACTAAATCACGCAAAATAAACATTTGTAATTATTGCAAGAGAGGCTCTATTCAGCGCTGTAAGTGTTTGAAAATCCAGGTTTTGGTTTAATTTTGATAATAAACAAGTTTACGTTGCGAATTTTTATAGGATAGCAGAGGCTATTCACTTTTGAACATCGCGGAGAGAAAGCGTGTCACAAAACTTGCCGGTATGAATGTATAGAATCCCCGTTCCACTTCTTCACATACCCCTCAGAAACACGTCGTCGATGGGGGTAAACTCAACAACAAAAGGCTGAATGAGTTTAAAATGCAGCCAATCACGTAAAATAATTGAAAAACTTGCAAATGATTGTCGTAAAAAAGCGTGGTAAATATTCCCCATTCTCGCTACAAGCGGTGGGTGGCAAACTGAGGGCGGGAACTAGAAAAAAACAGCGCTGCGATATCAACTTGGGAAATTTTGATTTTGAGCAAATGATGACCATAGGAATTCTGTTCGTCATAATGCCTCTAATGTTCTTCTTTGATTGGAGAAGACAAATTGCTCAGCACCAAATTGTGTCAGTAACTACAGACCCGTTATCTTTGTTTTGGTTTTCATTACTCAGACAAAAATTATTTGCTCCCAATAGACAGTCATTTCTCGGTCACTTAAGACTTAAAAGGCACAGATCTGCCCACTGCAGTATACCTTACACTTAAATTTTTGTATTTACATAAGATATACAATCAACCCTGATCACCAAAATATATTATTCATAATAGTTTATCTGACAGAGTGTTGGTAATATTCTCGTGCTCAGCTTGGTATACTTTCATAGATCATAAATTGATGCATTGATCTTTCTGTTACACTGCACGCATGAAAGAGAGGTGATTCTCGTTGATTTGAGTCATTATGATTCTTTTCTGATCTCTCAGTTAAAGAGAAAAAAAAGAGAGAAAGAAGAAAAATCCAAAGAGACCAATCTTAAAGTTAGGTATGTAATGCTGGAAATAGTATTTTTCACCTCTCCCTCTTCCTTGTAACGCACCCAAAACATTACGTTTGCAACTCCTTAAAAAATACAAATGCCGCTCTGTTTGATTATTCTCCCCAAAATGAACGTTTGTGATGAATTTTGTATGAAAAACATGTCCACCTGGTCATGGTTTTTTACTTTGATTTTCAAAACCAAGCCATTTTAGAATTAAGTAACGCAACCCTGATCTTCCCTTCTCCGTGTAACGCGTACTTGTATAACGCGGGTCCGGACCACCCTCTTCTAGAGCGTGAAGTACATCATAAAAGGATCTTTAAGCAAAAAGTGATTGGCCGGAGAAATTGGCATCATCTCAACACCCAACGCGTTCCCCATCACTGTCATCACGAAGATGAGTAAAGCGAGGGGTGCGGGAATAGCAGAGGGGGGTGGGTGGGGGTAAGGGATGGCGAAAATATTTTATTGGCGCCCGGTCTCGCCAGTCGCCTGAGTTCCTCATTTTCCAATTCCCCGATTGCCGTGGGTTTTTATTTCTATTTACTCAAGTGCTTGCATTTTTCATCGGTTTATGAATAACTTTTCTTGCCACCCGAGGCGCGTTGTTTGCTCGCTTTGATTGCTGCTCCGTACACGAGTTTGCCCCGCGACAAACAAGGCCAAATTCAGAGGAGAAATACTAGCTTCAGCGATGGCCAAAATCGCGTATGTTCATTGCAGTGTTTCAAAATTTCTGCTCCAATTTTATTGTTCTGAAGAGAAACATACCATATTTACAGCTTAAAATTTATACAGAATATTCTGCCAACATAGAAAAACTCAATGATGTTTTTCAGAAAATACGTTGTCTTACTCTCTAAAGAAAAAACTAGGTATTACATGCTACGTCAACGTCTACAACGTCACAAACAGATATACGTTGTTTCGTTCTTTGTCCATCCATATGATATTGAAACAGCAGTAGAACGACAATTGTAGCATGGTTCTATCGTGTTTGTTTTTGATCATTCTATAATTTACCAGTAGAACGACAATTGTAGCATGGTTCTACCGTGTTTGTTTTTGATCATTCTATAGTTTTAAATGCACTTGAGAGAAGGGTATGAAAAATTTACTTGCTAACAAACCTTTCAAAAAAACAGAACTTTTTACAACGTATAATGAATATTTATTGTCCTTTATTTTTTGGGAAGAACTGCTCTGCATATTGCAAATCCCGACCAGAGGCGGATCCAGAAATTTGGCAACACCGGATCTCCTCCTTTTAAACCTATGCTAAATAATCGATTCTTGGCGGAGCACCTGGTCCCTCCAAGAATCGATACATTTCCATAGGTTTAAATGGAGAGAAGGCAATGTTACCAATTGGCTGGATCCGTCAATGATCCCGACCGTATTATGCTTGCCGAATTTTTCATCATTTGGCATGGAATTTAATCATGTAGTTTCGCACTTGGGGGGGGGGGGTCCCTTCCAAAAGACTGTAGTAAGGTGTTTGATTGTCTTTTTCAGATCGGATAGTTCGATCGTACTTCTGGAAAATTAAATGTTTTTTTTTCAAAACGCAAAATTGTAAGTAGCCTATAAATGAAACTTTGTGCGACATACTGTTGCGCATAAAGCTCAACCTGTTTGCCACCCAGAATTATTGCGAAGCACGATCGAGGCTTTGATGGTTGCGGTTTACTTCTCCTCCTCACGTAATGCTCCTGAATTTTATCTTTTGCGCTTTTCAAAATAATTCCTTTTCTTTAGGTAAGAACTGAAGTTCATAAGAAAAGTTCAAGGCGAAATTATAAACAAACAAAGAAATATGCTCTGAGATAGCTCACGAGCAATTGTGTACGAAACAAAGCTGCATAGTATTGAAATATACATGTTGTTTCTACCTTACTTACGATCATAATTATCTTAAGGTAAAAGTATAAAGATGCTTAGCTTGGAAACTTAAACGGTGACTATGCTTGTCATGATTTGATTACATAATATACTCATTTTAAGTACTGCTTTTCCTTGCGTTTTTACGCACCAACAATTCCAGAGATCATTATTATTCACGTATGACTTAAAAAAACAATTCTAAATAAAACCTAAGAAGTTTATGCAGGGCGCCAAATCCTAACAATAATTACACTATATTCAAACGTAATGTTGAATATTTATTAAATCGCTTTTTTGAACCAACATATTTGCAGCAAACACAAGCTAAACAAAGCAGTTATTTTGTTTCAAGTTGAATGAGCACATTACTTTATCAGGTGTCAATGTTTATGTGTGCACTTGTCGTGTTGCACGTGTTGTGCAACACGACAATCGTGCTTTAACTTAGAAAATCAGGACCAAATAATAAAAAAGTAAGTGCATTTATAATCAATTATTGTGTTGAACATTATTTTAATATATTTTCAAATCAATTATATTTCTTACCGTCCAATGTCAATTAGTAAGAAAATACAAAAAATAGTGTCAAACCCGCAAAAATAGCGCCTACAATGCCTACATCCTACACGACTGCTGTGATGATTCATACAATGCGCGTATACGGACTGCAGGAATACTTCACGCACTGCACGTAGACCACGGTCCGTATCCGCAATGCGTGAAGTATCTATGCAGTCTTGTAGGCGCTAATTAAGCGTATCGCGTTTGTCTCACTGAGATTGACGCTAATTTTTCAACTCGCGGAGTCAGCGTTCTTCAACTCGTGGTCTTAAAATGTTTGCACACTTGATTGTCATTTAAATTGACAAAAAAAAAAATAAGTAATGAAGGAAAATATACGTATTGTGCGTTTTGCAATTATTAAGATGGTTCCGCGTCAAACTCATTGGTTGTCAAAACACCAATCCACATTTTAAATTCAATATTTCAGATTGAATATATATTTTTTTTTGAAGAAAATTCTTTTATTTGAAAATCAACTGAATGAGTCTAACTTTGTTCCGAATTTGAGCGGCACCTCATCGGTAGCATAGAGTGGAGCTCTGCAAGTTTACGCCTCGTGCCGTCGCGTCTTCAATTTTACAGATACAACATAGACATCCATTACAAACAAATAGTTGTATCTCTGTGCCGACACTAACGATGACGTTTCTCTTATTTTAAAATCGGAAGACGGTTAAGGTTACGTTTGCTCAAATTAAGCTATGGTGCGTCCGAATTAATAATGTCTTTGAAAGAAAAAGAAGTTAAGGAAGGAAGCAGTGGCGTGGCGTGCTTTGCGATATATCGATTGTTCTGCCATTTAAACCTATGGAAAAGGATCGATAAATAGGGTGTTCGCAGCGAACACCTTAATAATCGATTCTTTACCATAGGTTTAAATGGCAGAACAATCGATACATCGCAATTCACGCCACGCCACTGGAAGGAATCGAGGGGTCCCTCTGGCGCACTAATGTTGGAACGTTTAAAAAGTGGTATTTTTGCGAGAGTTACGTCGTGTCGGGGAATTTTTTTACGACAACTCATCTGATCCCAAACCGGGTCAAATTGATCCGACCATCTCCTCTATGGAAGTTTAATGCAGCAGCTGAAAATGGAGGGGGTAAGAAAGATACAGCGTGTTTTAACAAAATGGTAAAAATGTCAACAGAATATGTATTTTTTGCCCTCAAAAATATGGAACTAACACAGTGCTCCCAGCCCATGCCCGTCAAAAGTTCTGGGACTCGGAACTTTTTCGTTCCAATTTCTTCCCCTCAATGACCGTCAAAAGTTCCGGGACTCTTTTCAGCTTTTTCAAAAGCTGCGAGAAAGTTCCGGAAAATACAAAAGATCCCGAACATTTCGGGAATTTTAAAAGTTCCGGGAAAAATTCAAAAAAATCTCAAAAGTTCCGAGATTCAATACTAGTTCCGGGAAATGAAAGCACTAAAATAACATACTGAAATAAAACCCAACAAAATCCATGTTCTTAAATGTAAGTCAATTTAACCTGACATGGAGCTTCGCCTAAAAAAAATCTTGGGCTTCTATGGGATAATTATCGCACACTGTTACACAATTTATGGCTTAACCTGTCATTTTTACATATTCACGTAACAACATAGACTTTCCAATCAGATGCCATTTTTCACAAAAACAGTAGTGTGTTTCAGCTAATCGATAAATAGTGTGAGATTCCCGATTTAATTTTCAAATGTGGCATTTTCTTTGCTTGCAGTATGCTGCTATAATAGGTTTGTAGTGGAATAATTCAGAATGATTGATGTCCAATTCCTGGAAAGAGCAAAGCTTTTAATTTGATTTTTCGTCAGTTTGACAATGACACGAATGAAAAGTTTCAGAGTTTTATCGAGAAAAACGATCGGGACATATACAGCAGCTCGGACAGGGGTGGTACTGACCTCAATTTGACAAAAGCGTTCCACTTGGCGTTCAAAAGGTCCACCAAAACGCCATCCATCAACTCCAGATGTTCGTCTTTGTCCTGCCGAAAGAGAAATTTCGATGAGTTCGACACAATGTGTGATGCAGTTTCACGCACAATTGTCTACCCAAAATTTGAAGCTCTGAATGTTATGTGAGCAAATTAAAACCTTGTTTGGCTTCCATTGATGCACCCATGTACCGTAATGGCAAAAACGAAACCAAAAACTGTAAATATGGTAATACTTAAGTCTTAAAAAAAGCGCCCTCAACGAAGAATAGGATTCTTAAGTTAAAAGGGTTTATTGTGGTAAATAGGTGTTGCAAATTTATAGGTGTCAAAGAAACAAGACCGTATATTACTTCAAAGGTGCTACTATCTTTAAACGTGTTCAGAGCGTGTTGTTTGTGTGTTTATGGTGTGCCAGGCACAAAATTTCCGTAGTACCTCTCTAAAAAATAATTTACCATTTTTTTATGATATTCATTTTTTACGTAACACATTTCATACAGAAGCAGATGACACTTTGCACGACATATTACAAGATCATTACGTATTATATGCTTCCCTAAAGTTAGTAGTATGTGTTTTTTTAAATGTGGTAGCTAAAACTTAGAAGTGAGTGCTTCTGGTTATTACCCCAAAGACCACAAGATTAAGAGCCGAATTTTTGCTGATGTGTCCTGTTTCGATGTCAATTGTGTCGATTTGCCCTAGAGGATAAGCTGCACATGCAATACTGCCTGGAACAAATTTAATTACTGTTAGATCAATGCAAGCACTGGATCCATACATATAACAGTCCTACATTTTTTTACTTTGTAATATGCATAGCCTTTATGTAAAAAAAAAATGGTTAATAACTCCAAGGCATGAAATGCAAAATTTCAAAAATTAAGAATTACATTGGAAGCGATGGGATCACTAAGAAATTTGTATGTAATATATGTCAAGACGGAAAAAATGACTTACAACAATTGCAACCATTTACATCAATCGCTGTAAGTTACTCTTGGCTTAGGAAAAAATTATTCATAATGAAAAAATCTCAACCGTTTTTCGACAGTTAATTTTGTCCATAACTTTTCCGAGCAACCATGATTCTGATACAGTAAAGTTATAGATGTATTACAGTTAAGTTATAGATAGAATCAGACCATAGCTTGCTATTTGAAAATCGCAGCATGAAACAACTATTTGCCCTATGCCGATAATGTTTGGAGAATACACTGCAACGCTGCTCCGGACGGATGAGGAGCGGGACATGGCGTTTGAATTGCCTTCAAATATTCGTATAGGCAATTTCCGGACCTAGACGCTCGAATAGTTGCTCGGCCAGAATTGAGCGATTAAAGCTCTTGTCACGCCTCCAAGCCACAATTGAAATACTTGTCATTAATGATAGATATACCACTAAAATATGTGTTTTTGTTTTTTGAAAGCTCATACTCACCAATTTGCCAATAGATTTCGCGTTCGATGTTTAAAATGTGGAAGAACATCTCAATTCTCGCGAGTTTTGCTGCCAAAGTGAGAGGAGTCAAATTCTGGACATTCCGAACAGAAATGTTGGCGCCAACTTCGTATGCCATGTCAAATGTTTCCTGAAGTATCAAAAACCATTTCATTACGGCGATGAATTCAAGATATGCATCTTACTCTGGAACCGGATAAGTTTTTTCGACAGTTATACTCAATCATGACGAATATACATATGCTGATACTCTTGAATGCGATTTAAATCCAATTTGATTTTTTTGCTTATTTATGTAAACTTTCGGATCATCAAATGACCCATGTTCAATAACCCATCGAAATTTTGAATTACTGTCCTATCGATACATTTTTATCATGAGTTGCCCAAGTAAGAAAAAATATGCAGGTGCCCCCGGCCTCTTCATTTGATCTGCAACGTTTGAAATCTTGCTTAAAATCATTTAAGTTATAAGAAAAGAAGGAGGGCTTACTCGGGCTTAGACCTAAATGCCCTGAAAATGAAATGAACTATCCGAGTCTTGCCGTTTCCGTATTCTACAAAATTAATATACGCAGCAAAGGGCAACAGATCCAGTAGTTTTCTATGAGACTTAATATTTACTACGCTTACAACTGACAGCAAACATTAATTTTTGTCGTCGAGCGGTATAATTAAAACTTTATTTACGACAAATAAAACGAAATGAGTTGCCAAAATTGTAAGAGATCTACGAGTTCTTATTCAGCACTATGCGTTCAACGTTCTGAGATTGAAGAAAACTTTGGCAATTCATTCGCTGAGCAGACGCACGAGGATCTTTGACTCCTGCAAATGACTGACGGAGGAATTAGCGGATATTACGCTTCTCTAATTTTGAGATGAAAATGCAGTTACTTTTCGAGCGTTCCGACTGCGGCCGGCAGCACGGAAGAAAATAACTTTCGTTGTTCTCAACGTTCCGATCGAACTTCAAGTAACTTTCATTCGGGAAAACAGCGAGCCACTATCAAATAGACTTGCGATGCCATTCATTGTTTCATAAATAACTTTCGGCGAATTATCAATAAAGTTTTGATTGAAGTGCGCGAACGTTTTAAAGGGATTGCGACATTGCCAGTATGGGACTAATAAATAATCTTGAATCTAGACTCATTTTGACAGTAATTTACCACAGATAACACACTGTAACAAAAATTCCGGCCGTGAGAGTCGCAATTACGAGCTATATAGACATACCGTCCGTCCCGGGCTCAAAGGCCGAAAATTCCGGCTGTTAGAGGCGTAGCTTCGATTGCTCCGGGTTCAGAGGCCGAAGCTACGGCTCCAGCAGCCGGAATTTTCGAACTTTGAGCCCGGAACGGACGGCACGTCTATATAGCCCGTAATTGCAGCTCCCACGGCCGGAGTTTTTTTTTCAATGTACATTTTAGCTATTACAGGGGAAAAAATATTCTAAAAGTTTTCAAAGCTTTCCGCTTGTCAATGATTGGACAATATTTTCTTAAAGAAAGAACTTACGAGTTTCTCATAGATGACGAGCATATGAAGAACGGTATTTCCATTTGTGTCTTGATTATCGGGATTTGCTCCTCGCGCGAGCATGAGTCGGAAGCACTCTTCTTGGCCCAGACAAGCCGCAAAACTAAGTGGGTACTCACCCCAGTACACGTATCTATGGCAAACGAGAAAACTCATTGAAATTCCTCGACGTAAATTGAAACTCTATCACGCGGTGGTGATCCTGTACAATGGACATCGTCACTCAGCGTCACTGAAACATGCCTGATAACCTTTAGGAGTTCTTGAATGTTCTTGAAGGTAACTTGGTCTTTTTCGCGGAATAGGGAATTCTCTTCTCCGCGCATACAGTGAGAATGTACGTGTAATCTATAAAAGTCTGTATTTTAATTGCCGATGATTCATTTTCCTGTCAATCCAACAGGAATAATATAGCCTTAAGATGGTGAGAACTTCAAACTTAATGCAGCATCAATTCAGTTTAGTTAAATGTCATTGTTACCTCCCGTCCTGAGTTCACTTAATCTCACAAAAGATCGTAGTGCACGGAGAAAATCTATGTGGCACTATAAACTAATTAGCAATTCATACAGAACAGCACTAATACACTGGAAAAAAAAGAATCTTAAATTTGCCACCAAGAAGTATTTCTTCTTAAATCAAGAATTTTGTTGGTTAATATAAGCTACTTTTTTGCTTAACTCAAGCATTATTGTTCTTGTATCAAGAAGAAAACAGCTTAAAGCAAGAAAAAAAAAGTTCTTGGCGGCAAATTCAAGAATCATCATGCTTGATCCAAACTACTTACTTTTTTTTCAGTGTAGTCATAAATGAACTAATGATTCTCGGTCTGTGAACCATACTAAGGTATCTTGTACTAAGGTATGTATACCATCACTAAGGTATATGTGCTATTATTAAATGTTGCCTTTACTACTATAGGTAAGTGGTGTTCCGAATGAACCAATAATTGGTTTATAAGCTGTAGCTTTTACTTGGTATGTGGTACTTTAATTTTAATGGTTAAACGTTTTTCTTAATTCAAAGACAGTCGCGGCACTGTTCAGTCAAACGAATAAACAAGCATCTGGTCGGATTTTTTTCGTGCCAAAGTATTCTCATTTTCTTTTTCATTCCTGACTTCCCATGTAATTATGAATTGCATCCTTGATTTATTCCTCTATAAATTTTATGCAGCGTGAACATTGCAAAAAAATGCACCAGAAAATTGTAGAAATTCTAGCTTGAATTTTTTTTTTTTTTTTGGTAATAAAATCTAGCCAACAGAGATAATGCATGTGTCTTGTGGGACACCTGGCGTCATAGGTGCGCATTTTTACGAGGAAGAAGCATATTGAAAAAACGTGAGAGCTCTGGAGGTATGAATTATTTAAACAGATAAATTAAAAGCGAGGATTAAGCCTTTATTTGCGAATATGGTGGAGGTGAACTTCACTGAGATACGACGATGTCAGTTTGAGCGAATTTTATCGCATACGTCGGACGGTATGATCGTGAATCAAATAGGACGCTTCTTTCGATACAGTATTCCACTGAAAGAAACCATTGTAAAATTAAGGAAATAAAAACCGAAATTTATCGAGGGCTGTGTAAATGGATGCGAGATAGTAATTCATTTCTGAAAATAAAACTTCCTTCAATAAAGGTGCAACTGTTAAGGACAGGGAAAATTCAATCGTACAAAAAATCATAATAGTTTTTTTTTCTATTGATGTATGTTTTTAGTAATAGGAAATTACATATCTAAAGAAGGTTTGTTTATGTTTGTTTTATACATTTAAGGTGTCTAGACAAAGCCGGGCCATTTGCACTGTAGAAAGCCATGTCAAACCGGAGGGTAATTTAACTAGCAGTGGGATAATTAGAGGGAAACGTGAGATAGTGCGGCGAATAAAGTGATCGATCCGGGACTTTTATAGCAGCATTTTACGGGTTAATTAATTTGTAACAAAGTACTTTGATGCCACATTAGAATAAATAATGCTGCTATAAAATTCTTACTGTTAAAACTCCTTTGTTTTGTCGGTAAAAAGGAACGATTCTGGCATTACAAAGCATTGAAACGACACTTAATTTTTATTCTCTTTCTATAGAGAATATATTTGTATTTAAAATGCAAAACATGCCATTGCTACGGATCTGCCATGCCAAACATTTTTTAAAGTGCTCAATTCAAGGAGCAACTGAAATCTATCAGTTTATCTTCAGTCTCATGAATAGGCATTCCGATAACATTAATGTACTTTTATTAGCGTGTTCAACAGTGGACCTCCTTGCAGTTCGAGTTCAGAATCCACAAGTCATTTGGATTATCATATTTAGTTGCATTTTCTGTCATTTCGTTCGTAAGTGCGTTATATCTATATCGCGCGTTTAGAGGAATCTAAAGGTGTCATGTTCATATTTTGTTACATTACCGACTTGTGCACTTCATAATCAGTGATTATCTGAAAATCCTCAGCCTGAACATTTTCAAAAAGAGCCTCTGTAAATTCATAAATATTGAAGGTACAGTCCGATTATGAAACTTTTAAAATATAATTTGTAAGATCAACTAGTGGTTGTTTGATTCGGTTAAAATTTGATTTTTCATCGAAAAAATTCTAACAAAATATCCATACGGGTAAGATATGACACAATGGCACCCTACTAAAACATAGCGGGTGTATCAAAATGCTGAATAAAGTTTGTGTACTTTGTAAAGTTTCTTGGAGGTAGAAGTCCTTGATATCAAATTGAAAGTCACAACATCTTTTGCCATCACTATATGAGGGCGAAAGAAATCAAAATAAAGGGCAACGCTGTTTACGAGACCTACCATTTCCGAAGGAAGATTCAATCCTGCTCCATTATTACCCCCTCCCCCTCCCTCGTCATTTCTGCCTCTCTGCAGCCTGTGCAGTGTGCATCCATCCGACGAGAGCCTCCTACGTAATATTCAAGAGAATGATGAATGTTTGAGGATGTAAAATTAAGTGCAGCCTTCAGGAAAATGCATCTCGATCCCCACGATTTTAATTACGGGTGTTACCACGCAGGCTGCGGAAAAACAGTCAGAGCAAATATTTTGCCGGCTTGTCGAGTAAAATTTATTCCGAACGAAAAAATGGTCCCTCGGGAAAACAAGGGTGTTTCGCAATTCTAACTCCTCTCATTAGGAGCTAATTTTCACGATTTTGGAGCGGATATTGTAATTCATCATTTTCATGAAAAAAAAAAAAAAAATTAAAGTCGTTATTTATTTCTTACGTTTCTATCCTCATCTTTTCACTTATTTCTGTAATGTCCGCAAAAAAACCATTCTCGGGCCTTTGCAGATCTTCTTCACAACTATTTTCATTACCCCGCAATTTTCGTACAGTTTTCCGATAACCTTCCACTTCTATATTGACAGAGCAAAGAATGGGCGTAGCCAAAAATTCAAACCGAGCTCTCTGACATGCTGCAGTTATTCGAGATTGCATTGAGATGGAATGGATCGTATGCGATAATGGTTCGATGTATCGTTCGGTTCAAAATAATAAGAACATATCCTTAAACAAAAATTTTAGGATTTAAGTTGGAAAAGCTGAAAAGCAGAAAATTCCTTACAATTTCACTTTTCATTGCCATTTGATACTCTAAGGAATAAAAAATCTATCACAAAAGACCCGTTCCCTCAGATTTTTAGATTGACTTTTGAGGCTATGTTTGAACCAATCGATACCGATGCAATTTCACCTGTTTAATGTATCGAATACGACCTATTGGGCGTAGTAATTTACTGTTTCAAGTCTCAAATGAAAATCCTTTATAATTCGAACTCAGGTTTAGCTTATAATTTGCATTAGAGAATTTAATGCATCTGCTGGCTTCCTCTGAGGCCGGCAATTAAATTAATATGTTTTGACCCACCCCTCGTAGTTGGTGAGTGGCGACAGATTCACCCATTCATGCTCAACTGTGTCCTGCCTTGTAGCCTTCTGATCCTCAGGACACATGAAGTTCCCGGTACAACGCTCGTGGTAGTCAGCGCCACTGTCTAAAAGGAACTTCACCATCGCTGGATCTTCGTTCACTATGGCAATATGTAGCACACTTTCACCTGAATATAAAAATTTAACCAATTTTTTAAACTTTGCACCGAGACAAATTGAATTGTACTTATCAATAGCTTGATTTTTGAATTGATAAGAAAAATGTAGTTGTACCAAAACATGCCATTTGCAGTCAGAAATTCCTCATCGTGGATTAGACGTGCGGCCCTCAATGAAGACCCTTCACTCAATGCCAAAATTGGGGTTTTGAGAGGTGCGTATTTGTTAGCGGATTTCTCGGTTCAAATCTTTGCTGTACAGGTAAGTTTTGTTTTGTGAGTGGTATTATTCATTTTCTAAGCTGGGTTATTCTTTCTTTCCTTTTCACTGTGCCATCGCACTGGCATCTCAATCGTATGCATGTTTTCTATTTCCTTTTCATAAACTGGAAAATGTTTTGTTTAATTATACCGCGGCTCTTTATGTTAATGAGTGATTAGCATGTTGTTATGTTTCCTTGTCTTCATAAAAATTCATTTGTGCTGATAATGGGGGTAAATTGACACTCAAAATACATTCATAGTAAAAACTTTTATCTACCATAGCTTTTAATGGTTTACAGATAACATTTCTTCTCTTATTAATTGAAACACACGAAAAATACGATTTAATGATTACAGATTTTTAAATTAGACTACACATTCTGTAAAACGCCCTCTAAATAACGATTTCTTATTTTATTATTGTGATGCATATGACTGTTTTTTGAATAAATGACCATCAAGTTTCAACTTGAACTTGACGAATATCGGATATATATAATATAAGAATTCTTTTGAGAGTTTTTTTCACATTGGAGTCATTCAGTTTTCAAATTTATCATTGAACTAGAATTCAAATTTTCCAGTCTCAAAACATCTTAGGAAGTTTTTAAATCAATGTATTATTGTTTCTCTTTTACTTAATTTTCCGATTCCATAAATCGAATGTCCGGTCGGTATGATTCTTAATAGGTCAACTAAGTCGATTCTCCCCCGAATAGCTCAAGAAAACATTTGCTCTCTCGTCCTCTCACCTTTTTCGATGAGTTCATGAGGGACTGATCAACACAATTCAGGATGGAATTATGTGTATGGGGAAAAATGACGTGGCTCTTGGATGGGATTAGCGGTACTATAAAACTTTTAGAGCTTTCATAAGTTAATGTGGATTAAGCTCCCTTGTAAAATTATTATTCACTTTTTATTATGGGAATCCTGCGGTATGCATCAGTGTGGAATAATCGTGACGCAAAGCTAATCTCCGATTGAACTTTTTGTTTTGTCCAACTTCAAAGCGGGTCGAAAAGGAGCGGGAAATAACACGTTAATTGAACTTTCGCAATGCAGCCCCCGGTGTGAACGCCCGTGTGCAATGTGGAGGGTTATGTTGCCAACTGCTGCAATTTTAATTAATTTCTTGGAGTGTTATCGCGGTATTATTACAGGTCACACCATTAAACTCTGATATTCAGAGAAAATGTGCAATTTAAATTAGGGCAAGGAAGACCAACACTGAATTTTGATAATATTCCTACTGTTGCAAATTATGAAATTTTTCTTGCCCAAATAGAGGCCACCTATGAATACGGAACCTTGTGAGAGCGAGTGTCTCTATTATCGCTTCGCACCAGCATTGAGAAACGGGGGGGGGAGGGGTGTTCAAGAAAGTGTCATGTCCTAAAGTGTGTCTCTTACTCTCTTAATTTTTGACTGCATTCAATTATAGAGCTTCTTAAAAATCTGTTTAAACCTTTACTTGTTTTTGAACAGTTTTATCTTTTCCTTTTCCCGAATGCAAAACTAACTTAACGAGCTTTTTGTGGCCTTTTTCGTATAATGCGAGGTGATGAGGTAGTAGATATTGTTAGATTAGCTAGCTATACGCAATCACGAAGAGAGTACTCAGCGCAGTGTTACGAACCAATACAGGTAGAGGTATGAGCGTATAGATTTTTCGTAAGTTTTTTGTCACGTACGAATCATTTACGGACGGTCCTCATATAAAAATTGTCGCTCCTTCATCGATGTTCTGATATAATGTCTACTTGAACTGATCAAAAATTTTAATTAAAGAGAAGGATGCTCCCTCCCAATTTAGACTTTATATTAAAAATAGGAATAATTTGCGTACCGTAATATTCGTCGCACATGTATATATCGTTGATAAGTTTCGGATAAAAGCGGAGGAGTCGCTTGGCCAAGTCTGCATGGATGGATGTGGCGTTGAGGAGGCACAGATGGAGAATAGTTTCACCCACCGCTCCACGTTCCATCAAATCCCAGCATACCTCTCGGCATTTCTTCGGATCTGCGTCGAACAGCAAGAATGAATTAATATGTGGACGTATTTCTGCCAAACGGAACTAAGTGCAGTATGACGTGACCTCTGTTATGCATATATTCTTAGGGGTCTCAGGACCCATTGTCATATCCAAGAACATCTAACCACAAAACAAGATCATGTGAAGTCCAAATTGCGCGTCTCAGGATAGGTCACCCTTTTTCAGTCACAATCATATCATCTCCAAAGAAAATCAACCCATCTGTAACTTCTGTAATTTATCACCTCTAACCATCAAACACGTAATTATGGACTGGTCTGCCCTCAGATATCTCCAATCACAGATCTACTCCCCTACAATCAACAGAGATACAAACCCACTTACATGCGATGAACCCAATGATACTACCAAAATTCTGAAACTCTTCAATTTAAAAATCTAAATTTTCGTATGTACTCCCATTTTTAAAATTCTCTGTAAAGATGTTAATAGCCTGAGACGCTGAATGTCTTAAAATTATACTAACTAACTAACTTATTGCACATGGTTTCGTTTGGCAGAAATACGTCCGATGAAACAACACAGGAAGCAACTGAATAGATAAAAGAATGATGATATTTAACATGAGGCAAAGTAATGCCGAAAGGCGCAGAGGGCGTCCAATGAGTGGTCGAAGGGATGGAATTGGAGCAGAAACGTTAAGGTGCTCAATGCCCGAAGGGTTGCGGTTCGACCGAGGACAGGGGTGGTTAGGGGGCGTAGAGCGCCAGGGAGTGCTATCGAGCGACTTACATGTAAAATAATACCGATTTACTTTTTTTAGAATGATGAAGGATTCGAAATCCGCCTTTCTGAGGGCGATTGACAAGAAATCTTAGTCGGGGAATTAATTTTTTTTTTTTTTTTTTTTTTGTATAGAAGGGTTAAGCATTTTCGAGGAAAATATAGATTGCTGAGTTTAATACCTTGGTTAAACTATTTGTTAATGCTTTTTTGTTTGGTTCTAACTTTTATTACTGAAACATAAATCTGGGAGACTGTAGTTTAAGAGTGGCGTGCATTATTGAACCTCGATCTATTTTGGCTAAGGGAACGATCATTTTTTTTAATCAAAACTTTGTTTTCAAACCAATTTTTGATATTTTTAAAATACTATTCATTGTACCCGCAAATATTGAATAGTCGTGTATCAGAGGTATAATAAAGGCGAACAAATATTTCCTTTATAAAAAAATTATATAGTTTATTATATAGTTCTGCTTTAGTTGAACAAAGTTGAACAGCTCACCAATTTTCTCAGGATCGTTATCGATTGGCATTTTTTCTATATCTAGTTCCGTGTCCATATCCATATGTTTCAAGTATGGCAGCTGAAACAGCACATAAAGACATGCGTTGAATAAGAAATGTTTTGCGGCAATGAACCGCATTTATCTTAGAATCAGCACAACATTTATTTTATTCGATGACTTTTTGTCTAGAGATGGAATAACCATGTTTGTTGATGACCTACACTTACAGACTAAATCGATTAGATAAACATGACTATGCCTTTTATTGACTCACATATCGACGGTGAAACTACCAAACCACGTATCTCGTTTGCGGTGTTTAAAAATCTCCGCTCACATTTTATTTTTTTGAAGTAGACCAAATCAATATCATTCCTTGAAATTTTCACAGAATTTTCTCCGCACGAAGAGGAAAAATCACTGAAATTTTCAAGACCGGACGTTAAGTAGCTTTTCATTTAAAAAATAAAGTATGACAGGAAGTCTGCGACGTCGCAAACCAAGATACGTGGTTTGGTAGTTTCACCGTCGATATGTCATAAAATTCCATGTTAAAAAAATGAGATCAATGATATGAGGATAAAATTTTGATAATCAATGACATGAGGATGAATTCTCATGCGCACTCTATTCGTTTGTATAACGCGATTGTCTTATTTTTGAAAACATGCATTCTGATTAGGTTTCTTTATATTTAATTTGAATGGACTCATAGTGCTTATGAGTCTACCTACGCCATTCGCTCATTTTATGAGTAATCTTGCAACGTTTTATTTCTACTGCTGTGAGGAAAAAGTCTTACAAACACGCCCTTTGATGTAGTTCCTTCAAAGGAACCGCTAAAGGTAAATCCGGATAAATTTTCTAATCCGTTAACTTTTCGCCTTCTTTAATGCACAACTTTAAAAACCTTCTGAAGTTAGTCATTTCTTTTCTTTCTTTCTTCTTCTTCCTCTCTCCCGCTTTATCTTAACTCTATTTTCAAACGGAAGTGTAATCTTACTTTGTTTTTGAAATAAAAGATGTAACACTCAGAACTTTGAAACTTTTAGTCCAGAGGACTTCATATTTTTGTATTTTATGTAAAAGTATGTTTTGCTACTTGTGTCACGTGTATGATACATTCCGAAAGGTATTTCATATTATTGTTATTTTTACTAGTATGTCAATTAGTTTACCAACTCGACAAATAAAAATGTTCATCGCAAAATAAATGGTGCTCCTCAAAACCATGATGTGAAAAAATTGTAATATTTCCTTATCCTTTTCAAGGACGTTGCACGTTTACTTCCTCGCAGGCGTGGTTCTGCTCTCCCGTCTGGGAAGGACGAAAGTAAATTAAAGTTCTGAGTAGTCCAGTTTTCCTGATAGTGTCAAATCGTGATTCGTAAAAATCAACCCTTAGCCGCAAGACGGTTTCGGACATCGAAATCGAGTTAAACGATTCTGCATTGTGGAAAAGAGATTGAATTTGAAGTGGTGATTGGATAATTGTAGAAAATCAAGATGTAATGGGAATGAACTCGTACTCGTTCAGAATCAATTTCAGTGAGTCCAATTGACTTTTCGAATCAGAACTCACCAATTGACGCCCCGCGCACAAACCAAATGCTCTATTTTTTCAACATGAATTTTCAGTGGACACTAATTTTTTCGAGAGGCTGCGATATTAACCACAATTTTTACTCAGCAGAGGAAAAAAATGCTGATTCTTAACAATGAAAAAAGTACGATGGTTGGATAGTAGGCATAGCACGTCAGCTAACAACTGTGCGAGAATCTTGATCTATGCTTAAATTTTGAGAAAATGTGAGTTACTCAATGCCTATCATATAACTTCCGGAAATTATTCGAGCAAAGACTGATGAACGCAATCAATTTTGAGCCAGTGCTACTGTGACCAAAGTAGGTGTCTTGACCAAAAAGGAGAAGGAAGGATTACCATCTTTTCAGGCTGGGAAACAAAAGACGCACACCTGTTGCGCCTAAATTGAGAAGTGATTTTCTTAATGGACCATTAGGCAGGGTAGGAATATTTGAGCAACATACACAAAACAAGACAGGTTCCCTCATAAAAATTTCATACCCAGCACATTAAGCACATTGAATATTTTGAAAATCAATTTTTGTCGAAATTAAGCGTTCATAGATTGCGTCATAATCAGAAAATCCAAACTTGCTCATAAAAAGATTAACAAGTAGTTCCAAAACTTTTCAACCAAACAACCAAATTCTTTTAAATTTTCAAAGGAATCCGTACAGACGTTCTTTTGTTAAAAAAATAAATTCCCCTGTTCAATTTGGCAATAGCTGATGTAGCTTGGTTCCTCCTTGGTCCAAATATACCTTTCAATGAGATAAGGCTGTGATTTTTGTAATTATTTGTTTTCAAAGTTTAGTGGCCGATGCAAACGCTTTAGCAGTAAGGTTCAAGTCATTATTTATTTGATTTTTGTCAGAAAGCACTGACCCATTTGTGACGGGGCCGCTCCTTGTTGCGGATGAGGACGAGGTGGGAGATTGGAATAAGACGACCCTCGCCCTTGTTGTATAGGAACGGTTCCACTTTGGTTTTGATGGCGTGGTCCAGCTCCGCAAATTGCTTCGTTCTCGCCGCTCGCTTCATCAACTCCACCAGCAACCCTCCTCCTGCGGAATAATTTTCCAAATATTAACCCGTATGCTCCCTCTATTTCAGATTCTTTAAATTTACGATTTAACATCACAATTGAGGACACCGCACCATGAACAGCCTATAACTGGAAACCGCGTTTTGAGAAAAAACGCAATTAAAGTTTTGTTTTTGATGTGCTGCGCAGACTTTTCTATGCAGGTACCCTGTTTTGGTGTTTTTGGGTGACCTAACCCTTCTATTGAAGGATGCCGGGTAGATTTTGCGATACATTTTGGGTTTACACTCTAATATATTTCATTTAAAAAAGCTGTTTATAGGCCATTATTACGCCCAACAGTCATTTTGGTGGCAATATGAAGTATAAATCATTTTAAACACGCATGTTTAACGTAAAATGAAAGAATATCGATAGTGAGTAAAGAAAGGGGTAACTAGCACCTCATAGGCCCTTCAGTTTATAGGCCCGTTTATAGGTCGTTCTTGCACCCATCGATCCAGAGGCCTGACTTAACTCGGGAAATTTTTTTTTCGACCTCGAGCCGTTACCTATCTACAGGGTTATTCAAAAGTTACGCACCACTGGCCATAACTTTAGTTCTAATTATGATATCGATTTGCGGTTTGTGGCGTCCTTCCTCATATCGAGGGGGAAACTTTTTGAGGTATTTTTCAGTTCTTCACTCCCCCAGGGGGAGGGGGGGCGGGGGCAACTCAAAACTTTTAAATGGCAACCCCCATCATGCGATACAACGTTAGAAAGAGCATGAAAAAAGAAAATTTTTGGCGCAAAACGGAAGTCGATCTGACCCCCCTGTCAAAAGTTAGGGGGGTCCAAAGGTTATTTAGGGGGTCCGTACCTTCATTTTTTAGAGTAGCTTCGGCGGCTCTTGGACATACCGTTTCTCTTTTCAAAGAGTCCTCGGGGGTGGCAGTCCTTGTATTTCAATGCTCCGACTGATCGCCACGTTTCAAGGGTCCTCCTCAAGTTGGACAATAGTTTCGGGCATATTTGTAGTGAATTTCCCGGTTTTTACCCACTCTGCAACCAAAAATGAGGGGGGGCAGGGGGCTAAGAGTTTTGGAAACTCACTTTAAAGTCGCAGGCTGCGTTTGCGTTAACATTGGCAAGAAGTTCCACTCGGATTTGATGCTAAGTTTGAAGCTCTTCTGTGACTTTTCGCATTTTAATGCAATGTTTCATTATAACAGGCCCACTCCTCCCCTACAGGGGGGCTGTGGTGGCCCGGGGGCAATATGTAGACTTCGGTATCAGACTTGGAGTATTCGAGGACTCTTTGAAAAGAGAAACGGTATGTCAAAGAGCCGCCGAAGCTACTCTAAAAAATGAAGGTACGGACCCCCTAAATAACCTTTGGACCCCCCTAACTTTTGACAGGGGGGTCAGATCGACTTCTGGTTTGCGCCAAAAATTTTCTTTTTTCATGCTCTTTCTAACGATGTATCACATGATGGGGGTTGCCATTTGAAATTTTTGAGTTGCCTTCCGCCCCTCCTCCCCCTGGGGGAGTGAAGAACTGAAAAGTACCTCAAAAAGTTTCCCCCTCGATATGAGGAAGGACGCCACAAACCGCAAATCGATATCATAATAAAATTAGAACTAAAGTTATGGCCAGTGGTGCGTAACTTTTGAATAACCCTGTATATTCTATCGCTACCACATCATAGTCCAGGGTACGTAGAATCCGAAAATCAGATGGGCGTAATAACGACCTATACGCCTATAGGCTGTTCTTGGTGCGGTGTCCTCAATTATGATTTTTACTTTTTCACAACAATTCTTCTTTCACAAAATTTCTTTTCAACGGTTATAGGACGTTTCGTCAACGATTTTTTGTCAGCACACCTGTTTTTTATAGTAGTTTACGGCACGCGAATTTTTGCTAGGGGAGTTTTGGTCCACTTATCGATTGAGATGCAAGTTAATTGGTCCACTATGGTCCACGTGTAAATATAAACGACAATTGCTCACGTTATTATTGGATGAAAATATATTATTTCTTGGATGAATAAGGGTTTGCTTGTTTTATTTTGTTTTTTGTTTTCCTTTTTTTTTAAAATTTTTGTTTGTTTGTTTGTTTGTTTGTTTGTTCCAACGGAGAAAAATATATAATTGCGATTTTTGGTAAAAATGAGAAAATCAAATTCCATGAGGGAAAATTCAATAAATCTCTCTACACTTTTTTGGTGCAACGAGACTTAATGATCTTTAAATAAAACCTGATCTTTTTATACCCGAACCGAAATTTTTTTTTGATTTGCCTCAACTAAAGGCTTCTAGGTTTTTCCTGCGTACGATAACTTTGCGACAGTGCAGGCGCGGTGTTTCGAGCTACTATTTCCCCACGGAAAAGTTGCACAGAATAGTAACAGATTAAAGGCTTCCTAATATACAATGATTATATCATGCTATCATGATATCATCTAAACGTTATTAAATAAGAATACTAGGAATTAGGGAGTTTTTGGACTACTGGTCTCTTTTTGTGCCGTAGTGTCTTGATTTATTATGCGAGGAGAGCTCCGCACTCTTAAAGGATGCCTGTCATTCTTAATATGTTGGAGCGCCTTCATTTTCGTATGATACTGTGCAACACCTCTGGTGTGAAATAGTTGCTTGAGGCGCCGCACGGTGGATCGAGTCATAGGGCAGGCCGGACATGGCACATCACGCGACTTGGTTTGCTCATTTACGTAGTGTTTGCGCTCATAAAACAAATCAGGATACATGATTCTTATGTATTTTTCGTCGCAGATTTCATTTTTGATGACTATTTTCCTGATTATTGGGTTTAGATATGTATTTTGGCACAATTTCAGATAAATAAAGAGATATTGTTTAACAACAGATAAGTTTAAACTTTCTACACTCATTTCAGTCGAAGTTTTAAGTGTTCAATGGACTTTTCTCTCCGGTAAAATGTTTAAATATCGTACATAAAACGTATATTACTCATCTCTTTTACTATTCCCCCTCCTCTCCCCCAAAAAATGAATTAATAGAAATCCGAAAATGTTGAGAGGAAAACAGAGGATCTCCTTTCCCCTTCATTCCTGGGGCACCTTTTTAGCTTTCTAACAAAAGAAAATGACAAGGGGAAAAAATATGAGAGAAAAATACAAATCAAATACCTACACATCAATCAACACAAATCATGTATTATCCGAGCCTTCCTAATTAAGGGCCCCGCGAGTCACCATTGTACACTGCCTTTATTTATACTTAGGTATCTAATGGAGCTTCTTCGGCTTAATGATTGCTGCTGAAGCTCAAATTACCTCAATTTTCTCTATTATCTTCTAATTTTTCGAAGAAATTAAACATAAAAAAAAAAAAATCCGATGTCAAAAAACGCGAGTTTTTGGGAAATAGTTAGAAGATAGAAAAGAATTTAGGCCATTTTTGACTTTAGCATCAAGTAGTAGATGAAAAATGCTCCATTAGACACCAACTTGATATAATTTTCCCGTCTTTTCAGACGCAAAACTTACGGATCAGTATCATATGCGTCGATTAGGACATTTGAGAGGAAAACCCCGTTATCTGAAACAACGTGGACATTTTTTTAACCACGCAAGGCATGTTTTCTCATGTATTTTTGTCTCCTGGATTCGAAAATGACCTTGGTTTCTCTTTACCATGCACCAGTTTTCCGGAAAATCTCATTTCCCGAAAAGTCCATTTTAAGTGGAAAATCTCAATTTTCCGGAAAATCGGTGGGTGTTGGAGAAAAACCAAGGTCATTTTCGGACTCGGCACTAAAAATTACATATAGATCACCTATCAAATGCCCGGTGTTTATTCGCCACAGACCTGTGAAATTCGAATTCTCTCGAGCCACCATTTTATGAACTTCACTTTTCCAAAATCATTTAAGCTTTATTCCCGAAATGGCACTTTGGGGCAGCCAATTTTTCTTGATAATGAATCTTCAAGGATCAGTTAACACTGCTATACAAAGGTTTCCCTGAAATACGCTGAAATAGCTAGTTAAAAGTCTAGCTATATTATTATTTTTACGGTATTGAGGAGGGTACTTTTAAGCAAGAATACCGCTTATAAAAATAGCGATATTTTAACTTGTTATTAGTGAAATATATTTTACTTAAGGAGGAGGACAAGCTACTTTATTCAGAAATTGTCATAAATCTATCGGAGGGAAATACCAACAGGCGAACGGTTTGTCCCGAGTGAGGCAACATTTTTCGAGTGCCGCCTGAGTCACTTTAGGAGGCTGTGTGCGTTTAACTGGGGTTAAAAAATTGAAAACCAATACCTGTATCATAAAATATAACTCTTTGGGAAGACATTTACATCAATGAAATGACTATTTGTGAGAATCGCCCATGTCCGACTTTTTGCAGGTTTCGATCCACCGTGCGCCGTGGCAAGCTGCGGGCGGCGAGCGGCCGGCCAGCGCATTGGCGCCTACAAATTTAAGGGGATACTTCTAGCATTGCGCAATGCGTGAAGTATCACCTTAGGTTTGTAGGCGCCAGTGCGCGTTATGCGCCGGCAGCACGCCGGTCCGCACTGTGTTAGGATCTAATCTTTAAACTCGCAGAGTCAGCGTTTTTCGACTCATGATTTTGAAATGTTTGCACACTCTGCGTGGATTTTTCTCATTTAAAAAAAATTAATAGGTATTAATGGAAAATATAATGTGTGACTTGTAAACAATAAGATGCTTCCGTGTCAAATTTAGTGATTTCCACAGCACTATAATTTTTTCATTTATATTTGCAAAGAATCGTTGACGGAATGTCCTGAAACCTTTTTAAATATTTTCCGAGCTGTGCAAACCCGTGAGAATTCGTGAGACTAGCTAAGCGGGCAGACATCCGATGACACCCTCGGCTGATCAAACAGTCGAGAGCCCCGTCTCCACCATCCGTTTTTCTTCCAACTTTTCAGCTTGGTTGCTCTTTCCCTCCAAAATTCGATCCACATGCCACAACCACCCTAGACAGAATTTTCATCACCCAATTTGTTGACTCTTCAAGGAGCCCCAGTTTTTTTTTTTTTTTTGGGGGGGGGTTGTAAACAAAAGATCGGGAGATTGTGCGTAAAACAAGATTCGTGGTCTCATTCTACGTCTTGAGAGGCGTTCATGAACCGAAATTTGGCAACACCAGATTTCCTTCATTTAAGTTTATATTAAAAAATCGATTCTTGTCGGAGCACCGGGCCCCTCCAAGAATCAATACATTTCCATAGGTTTAAATGGAGAAAAAACAATGTTGCCAACTTGCTGGATCCGCCAATGTTCATGAACTTGCATAGTATCCCATGGATGCTCCTTATTACTTTTGTATGACAAACGATACAGACTCGTACGGCAAAACCTACGCAGATGTATAATTTGTACAATAGTATGTAACGCAGAGTGAAAGAACTTGCCTTTGAGATCCACCAACTTGTACATGAGGATGGAGGAGGTGTCGGCTTGCTTCTTGACACCGGAGGTGACATTTGACTCAGCGTTTCCCATTGTGCTTGGTTATTTAGCACAGGTGTTAAAGATTAATCAAATTGATGCCAAATTGATACCCCTGCAAAGCGACCAATCGCGGTCTGCAGTTTATCCTTTGTCACAAATCAGTTTGATCAAAAACATTGCCGAGAGCTATGCTGTATCACCGCACTTAATGTTACGTCTCAGGACGGCTTCGGTCGCAATCCCATTTGCATTCCGCATTTTGAATGGCCCTTTCAATAAAATAAAATAAATAAATTAATTAATTAATTAGCGAAGAGTGAATGAAGAATTGAAAAAAATAAAGAAGACCCAGGCCTGCGTTAGAGGAACTCAGACACGCGAGGGATACAAGATTTGAAGAGGTACATTATGCGGTGAATAATTTATTGTAAAAAGCATACACGTCACAAGAAAAACACGAACTCTGAGGCCTGCTGAACACTGTTTGATGAGACTAAAGAGGAATTCTTTGAGCTGATGTCGACCAGAGCGAGCAAAAGCTTACGAGTATGTTTGTAGGCAACCTCAGTGTTGAGTAATTATGATGGACCCCCTTAATTTGACCATGAACCTCACAGTTTTGTACGATTATTCACTTAAATTTAAATTTTGAAACTCTCATTTAGTTTTCGAATTCTCTAGTTCTCTCTCCTCCAAAGAATAGTGTAGATTGACCTTTATGTTAATAACCCCTATTGAAATTATAAGAAAAAGCCTCTCGGATAGCTACCAAGCCGCTCACAAAGTTCTAATATATCATTTAAATTTGCAATTAATTACTCGGTATCGATATAATTCTATCGTGTGAAATTTCAAACTTACGTCCAAATATCTAGTAGCCAATTTATTAAGTCATTACCACCTACCAGTCCCATGACGCTTTGCTCATATTAAAATTTAAAAGGACTTTATTATCAGCTCCACAGAGATCTCGCATCCCAAATCCATAACACTTGAATTTACTGTTTTTGCAATATTTCAAAACAGAAAGCTGGGAAAGAGCCATAGATGCCAATATCTCAGTTATTTTATCAGTCACATATACATGTCAGCCACATTCGTCGATGGCGTTGCTTACCCTCTTCTCAGCTCTCATTTATGATTTTTAAAACTATTTTCAGCAAAGTGCATTGCTTGACTTGGGATATCTTTGGGACATGCAGGACTAAGGGCAATCACCATAACTCTCTATAGGATTTTCCCGCCTTTTTCATCAGTTATAATTATGCACATCATCCTCCCCTTCCCGCCAGAAAATTGATACCAGTCAAAATTGTGAAGTTGTTATCTTGTCATTGTGAGGATTAGTGGCCTTAGCTATTAAAATTACTATACGCCCTATTTCTCGCTGGTCTCTTTGGCATTTTTGAACGTCTAACGTGTAAGATTTGATTTATGAAAATAAAAAACCAACCGCAGTGAGGTAAAATCGTTTGCGAACACGCACCACGCACAAACACGTTATATCCGGCCATCAACATGTGGCAAATTTCGCTGAAAAAACACCCGTAACTTGTGATCCGCCGGAGAACTTTGGCCCACTAACACAGACCTGTCCTGGGTCGCGGGTGACGGTACATAGTCGATACGCCGTCCAAACCGGTGCCAGGCCCCGGCACCCTCCGCAGTGCTTGTTGCAAGATTTGGCAGAAATTGCCTCGTTTTTCAGTGGGAAGATGCCAAATCGTAAAATACACCACTTGAAATCGATGTAATCTAATTCAAGGTGCAGTGTGAAGCAGAGTGTACAAAAATTGCGTCCATGGACTTTGAACTCGAGTATCCAACTAACGACACAAAAACTTACTGCTTTGTACTGTTTTGAGGAAAAACAATTTTTTTCTGTGTGAAACTGCGTAAGATATTTTTTCAACCGCCTAAGAATCTTATCTGAGATAATCATGCAAAAATATGAGTTATTTCTACCCTGAGAAAATTAATGAGAGAGAAAACTTTGAAACCCTGATTTAACAACCTTTGCACGTACCATAGATGTACGCGGAGGAGGAAAGTTAACGTCTTTCTTCATTCAATTTTAAATTCTTTTACAATTTCAAAATTATTTTTCCTATCCGGTTCCAAAAATTTTTGATCAAAATGAAAAAAACGCTTCACGCCAAAAAAATAGAGTTACGTGTGAATTTTCGGAGGATACAAAATCCTGGTGGCTGAAGTCATTTACATGATATGGAGCCGCGGCTTGTTTTACTAGCCATTAGAGTATTAAAAATATCACTGAAACCATGTTTCCCAAGGTCAAATTTAATATTTTTTTTTAAAATTATTCTTGCACGGATTACAATGATTTTACGAACTCAGAATTTTGACTACCGTTCCAAATATTTTGAAAACAGTGGTCAAATTGAATTGCATTTGACAATAGGGAACTCAATTTTTTTAGTCATTTCGGGCACAAAATATCTGCTGTAAATTCTTCTGTACTGATAATTGCTTGCAGGGATTGATTCATTCATTGGCCTCCTTTCGGTGAATGCTTTTCAATTAAACTCCCCGAACCGTAATGTGCGCGTTTACCGGCAAAGTTAAAAGATTGAAGGAAAGTGCGGATGAAAGAGAAGATAATTTAATGAATGGGCTTATGTTTTGATATGGCTTTGATAGGCGCGGATTATTAAATTAATTTATAGCTGGCCGCTGTTCATTTACCCTCAAATCACTTCGACTCAAAGCCCAAAAATAGCCTTAACACAATGTCAAAGCAAAATCACTCACATTTATTTAACAAATGCCTAAACAATTATAAATTTTAAATATGATGTATGACATTCTGAGATCAGTAAGATCGCACGATGTTTGATTTTAATCCACTCAAAGCATGAAACTCGTAAATACCCTGGAAATGTAATCACCTCTTCCTCAATTAATATTTAGGACCAAAATTAACTTTATTTTGGTCTATATTTTTCTTATGACTTCTCGAGTATTCCATGCATCATCCGTGATTCAATTAGGATTTCCCTAAATTGATTACCACATTTAAACATCGAATTTTTCCTTTTTTTATTTAGTAGACTTATCCATTATTCAGAAAAATTTGTAAACTCCAATCTAATGGAAGGTGTTTTTCAGACCTCAACGCTTCATCGCCTATCATGTATGGACCAAAAAATACTGTACATTTTGACTTATCTCAGCGCACTCCTCGTTTTTGTTGTCTTATCACCCTGGCAGATTTTCGCATGAATGAGAGAATTTTTCTTCGATGGATTGAACCCTTAAATTGGGTCAAAATGGCCCGAGATTTGTTAAAAACACGTGCCTCACGAGTTGCATCATGGGACTGGTGCCAACGTTCTTTAGATATACGTCTAAAATTGTAAAAAAAAGAATCAGACGACTGAAAAAACATTGAGTGTTAGGGATTTTTGTTGACAACTTTCCTTAAAAATCCAAAGACAAGGCAAATTGACTCAACTATCTCATCTGGGGTAAGTGTGAGGCCCGTACATACGTGCTTTAGATATAGGGCTACAAATTATAAAGAGGCAAAACATCAGACATCAAATCGAGAAAAAAGTAAAAATCGAGTTTCACCACGACCAAAGATTGGAGAGACGCATTTTGGCCTCATTTTTTAACTTTTCTCCCAAATCCGAGCGACACACAATGGATCGAGTAAATCAGAGAGGTCGAACATGAAAGTTTTGACTAACAAGAAAACTGCAAATTTTGTTGTTTATTTCGTCATATTTTAAATTTTAAGGGGTGCCTCTAGAAGAAAATATAATGAGACAAGCAGTGAACTCCAACACAATGTGTTGATAAGGCGCGTCATTAACTCGCACATATCAACCCCTTTAGTTTTCATTTACAGAGATTTCAAAATAGGCAAACAGCATAAAAAGAGAATTCACGATCCAACACTGCGAGGTCAAAGACGCACCTTGACGAGACCGTGTATTGTGAAAGTAGAAAGCTATTCGATCGAATTTAAGTTTTTTGATCTGCCTCAAGCAAAATCTTATCAGATTCTTGAAGAAAAGTGCTACGGAATAATTTAAGCGAAGAAAGGAAAAATTCTGTCGAACTCCTAGAAGATAAAGTCGATTTAAAGGTATTTTGGGGCTAAAATACCCAAATCACCGGTAGTAAAAATCCCGTTATATTATTGAAAAGAAATTGACTCGATATAAATGCAATTGCATTAAATACGTCTTGATTTTGTTATTTTAAACGTCTTTCCATGCAAAGAAGTTCAACCATGTCGTTGCTTTATTCATTCATGAATTGAAAGTAAGCAATCTACATCCCGAAAATCTACTGATTTGCCGTAAAAAATTGCAGAAACTTGATATACCAGGTCGATGCACCCACTCGTTGAATTTACCAACCAATTTTGTGAGTGCAAATGTGTAAGAATCAATATGCTATAGTCATTTTGGGTGCATTTATTTTTCATGAAACAATAATAATTTCAATCCCGAAAAACCATCAATTTTCCGTATAAAATCGAAAAAATCAAAATATGTCAACTCCCCGACGTGAAAATTAGATTCTACGTATGTAAAATGTAAATACTTATGTATCGATATGCTGAACAGAACTATGTGTGGACAGTCAGAAGCCCGCGGCAACATTAATTCAACAGAAAAACTGTAAAAATTAGATAGGATTTTAGCCGCTTTGCCCGCCTCTCCTCGCTACTTACAACAAACCGTTCTTATACTCATCTCAAAATTTTTCTCAGAGCTTTGGGTTATTATCAGCTTCCATTTAAACTCCGGTTCGATGGCCGAATCGGCTGCCAAAAAAGCAAGCCACTGTTGAGGGGTTCTATGAGAAATTCGTGATATTATCGGCTCTCAGGAAATCACCCCATGGCTAAAATTGGTGGTATAAATGTTTAAGTGCTTAAAATAATCGTATTCAAGAAACTAAGGAATTAAACTATGGAGTCAATTTCTTTTTAATAATATAACGAATTTACTACCGGTGATTTAGCTATTATAGCCCCAGAATACTTTTAAAGCGCCTTTGCGTTCCAGAATCTCGACGGAATTTTTTTTTTTTTTTTTTTTGCTTAAACGATTCAAGAAACATTGTAGTTAAAAATATAAAGATTTTTCGATTTGGACGTATGAAAAATGTTTAACTCGTTCAGGCACACCGTGTATTGTATGGAGTACTGCTGTTATTCGACCGTTGTCTTCAGGTCAAAATTCTTACAAAGAAGCCCCTTGCAAGAGGCAAATTTTTTGTAATTTCTCCCAGTTTTTTCAGCGTTAGGTATATAAATGAATTGTTTGTCAAATTTTGAGGTCAATTATATTTAATTGTAATTTATACTTTCTTTTTTTCCCCTTCATTTTATTTTTCGTATCGAGGAGTCGAGGTTTTGTTGATTTCTTCGGATTTCGATTACTGTAACTTCTCTTCTATTCGGCCGATTTTTATGAATGAGGTCTCTTTTTATTTGTGTTTTAACGGAGAGTAAGGAAAAAATTGCTAAATACATGCGAAACAATTTTTTTTGAAAATTGGATGAATCCTAGCGTGACGGTGAAATGGTTAATGAAGCGTGAGTAATTGGGGTACGGGTATCGGCCGCGTTGGGACCCAAGGCCCATTGTTCTTCGTGACGCCGACGCAGTGATCAGGAGCGTGGGGACGAGAGGGCTTAGTGGACTCCTGTATGAGCCACGTTTAGCAAATGGTCTAATGAGTCTCGAGGCTCATCACAGATTGCACTTACCACTATCCTGGTGGCCCCGGCTATCAGAGCAAGGAGTACCAACTTTTGAAAAGGATAACAGTGTTGTGGAGATATGTCAAAGCAACGTTGTGAACAAAACGGAGTGAGTGAAATTCTCATTCAAGGAGTGCCGAACTGGTCAGCCATCCTCGAATCAGTTCGCTTGCTTCCGCTTATATATGCATATTTTAAATCAGCGCGCCCCATTCTAAGGTTTTTTTAAAAAAAACCAAGAAACGTAGACTCTTGGTATTCATTACACATAAACTAGCGAGCCCCAGAATGAGAAACAAATTTTAATCATTATTATTGACGGATTAGTAAACTTTTTACACGCTTTGGAAAATCTCAGAAGTTCGCGGTAGTCACTTTTCGGTAAGGAACTAGGGGACTCGGTTATTGTATCGAGGGGGGGGGGTCGAAACGATCGCAAAGGCGGTATACTACGTATACGCGCCAAAAACCAATGGAACCGGTCTCAGAACCTCTGAGTTTCGTATAAACGGAGTTATTAGCGTTTAAAGGCTCCACATTTTGTCCGACCTCTCCTATTGACTCGATCAACCGTGCGACAAATCATGCCTCGCACCATCGCGCCTTCAATGTTTCAGACGCAACACGGACACCCATCGGACACGAATAGTCGTATCTCTGCGCCGTCATCAACGCGAGTCCTTTTCTCTTACTCAAGCTTAAAATAGATGCGATCGTTTGGTAAATGTTTGGTTTTAAAGGCATCTCAAAAGTATCTTTTGTTACCTTAAAAGGAATGGAAACTTGTTCATATCAATTTGAATATTTGGAACTTTGATGTTTTGGGTGAAGGTTGTAATAGGTGAGTTTTGACAGTAGAGATAACATCGGTAAATATGATAAGCAAAATATAATTGGACGTCAAGAGGCATAGATTTACTACATTAATAATTGCACTTAGAGTTACATCAATTCTTAATATTTAAAACAAAGACTTGAAAAGGTAATCATAAATGCACATATAAAATGGGAAACCATCAAGAAATCACAAAAACAAAACATTTTAGTTGTTGGAATAGTTCAAGCAAGAGTCAAGCTCTTATTCAAAAGATTGGAAATTCGTTTCATCTTTAAAGGTACGATATCATTTTTATATAACAGTTACAGTCATGCTTATCAATTTTCTGGATTTGAAGTGACCGATATTATTTATACATTCATATAAATTGATAGTAAACGAGAGGTACATTGGGAAAGGACCAATTTTTTAGCTTTGTTCTAAATTCTGATTTTGTTTAGAAGGAATTCTGACTTAAGAGAACAATTAGAATTTAAAAAATACGATACCTTCCACTTAAAGAGTGTCTCTTTCCATTGCGAAGTATAATTTGTCTTAGATTTAGCTCAGAATTCTTAGGGACGTATTGTAAATGTTATTTCAACTGGAAGCAATCGTGATACAGCCACAATTGTAACTATCATATGAAATTTATCTCAGCTCTCAGGTTAAAATGTTATTTCCGTTTAGTCTTTCGAGAAGGATACATAAGGTGGTCTCTTTAAAATGCTATCCCATGTCAATACAAAAATGAAGAGCTTTACTTTCTATTCGCATCTTAATTCGGGTTAAAGAATGTATTATTAATTCTAAAATATTTTATATTTGGAAAGGAGCGATCTGTTTTATCAATACAAAACTCGAGGGAAGACCTTTTGCATTTATCAAATAGACATTTTTACGAATCAACCATTCAACCTCATGTCAGAACATAAAACCTGCTGGTTGGAACAATTTTGGAGAATCCTAAACACTTTGAACGCTTACAAATTAATGCCACGTATGGGCAAAGTTAGCATTGTAATGCGGCAAAAGTTTTGATTATTCCGCATGAAATTCAATGCAAGTAGACAAAGTAGGTTTGCTGACAACTCTACTCAACCTATATTGCGTCCGCTGATGATTTTGGATTTCACAGTATGGGGCAATGAGGTCTTTTCTGATTATCAGGAAAACACATCTCAATACCTACTTCCAACTAGAATGGAATTGACTTCTGAGGGCAAATTCTACCACCGCTGGTCAAGTTTTCTTTCCTGTCAAAGAAGAATTGTAAGCTTTGTATTTTTGAGGGGATTTCATGCCTTGTATCGTGAATCTAATCTTCTTTTAAAATTTGACAGTCAATCAATTCGCCTCTCAATTTTCAGACATAATTCATATTCGTGCGACAATTCATGATAGAACCGGGGCTCAGTACCTATGAGCTACTATTTTAACATAGAATGAATAGACTACGCCAATAGAAGCGAAAGCCACCGCCACTTTTATGTCATCGAAGCGAAACTGAGTCAATAAGTACTGTTCACGTCTTCGATCGGCATGTCGACGTGCTGGAAAGGCCGAATGATAACGAATACAGACGTTTGTAGGAATTAAAAAATATTTTTTTTACACTTATTTACCGTTAATTCGGAGCATTACTGTAAAGTTGCTTAAAATTTTAGATTTCTTTCCAATATTTTTTGTAGGTTAACCTCAAATCAGGTTTCAAGAAGTACCGACCCTGGGAAGAAAAATGTTAACATTGGCTCTTACGGAGCTTTCGCTTCTGTTGACGTAGTCTATTTATTCTATGATTTTATTTTTTCAGTTGTCAATAATTACTAGATTTTGTTTTAAGGCGTGATCATAGTGAGGTCTCCTCGAGTTTCCTTTGAGGCAGATCGCGGGGCTGTTCCTAGAACATGGTAATGATGTCTTTGTTGTTGTTGATGACGATTTCAGCTGTCGTAAGGTTCTCCTCGCTCCCCTGGCGACTGTGCCCCTGCTTCGAGATCCCCCCGGTCGCATTGAATGTTTGCAGGTTCGTCCGCGTAGTGTGTTCCTCCGTTGCGTTTCTCCGCACCTGTGAAAAAATCATTTGTGTTTTTAAAATTATTATTTAATAAGATTTATGCGATTTGAAGAGAGTCAAGAGTAAGTCAAGAGTGAGTCAGCTCTGCTGGTATATCGAGAAGAGAGCGTATCCGCAATGAAAATGTGCGCGAGAAATGGGTGTGGAGAAGGACATCGTGCACGATATCAGGTCCAAGCAGTTGGTCTGGTATGGTCATGTGCGAAGGATGGCAGACGATCGGTTGCCCGAGGAGGTTTTCGATTGGGTTCCTCCCGGAAGGCGCCGGCGTGGATGTCCTGTGAAAGGTTGGCGACAAGGGGTGGAGGAGGAGATCAGAAGGTGCCAATTGCCTGATGATCTCTGGGAGGATAGGGGGCAATGGTGATTGGGCGTCGCAGAGCGCGAGGCTGCGCTGTGAAAGCGGCTTGATGTATGTATTTAATAAACGATTGAATGTGACTTTGAATAAGAAGCGGAATATTCCAAGGCTGAGAGTACAGCGTGGCAGCACGCAGAAGCATACAGCGGACCGTCGTGGTGAGCTCAAGCCTCGCGCTGTCGCGCCTTCAATTCGGCACACGCAACACAGACGTCCGTGAAGTAGGAATAGTTGTATCTCTGCGCCGTATTTCAACGCGCGTCCTTGCTTGGGACGCAGAGTCAAATCCACAAGAATTAGACAAGCCATGTTTGTTAAAATCAATTGCGCGTGTTGGGAACTGTACAATCACTATCGTCGTTTAGGTTGGCCTAGTTGTCAGCGCATCTGACTCCAGACCGATTGGTCCCGAGTTCAAATTCCGATTGTGGCGACAATTTTAACAGAGCTGATGAATGAATCTGCAGAGACAGACTCCATTTGGCCTTAATCCCTAAAAATTTGAAGGTCTAGAGCACGTGTATTGAACTTTGAATGGTGCTAAGTCATTTTTCCTAATTTTTTTTCCTATACACAAAGCTTTCCTGATACCCCACTGAACTCCTGCTTGTCCTACTTGTCCTACTTGTTTTTTGTCCCATTACAGTAAGTCCTACGAGTGTGATGTCTCACTGACTTCTTTCCTATGGGTATTCTCAATAATCCAACAATAATTGAAACGTAAACATGAGTAGAGCAGAGAGAAATGTTTCAGAAAGTGTAAAATTTCCTCAGAGAGCTGAATATTAGCGCGTGAACAGGAGACAGAAAGCACAATCTGAGCCTTCCATACCCTTGAAGCTCCACTACTTGCGGGCATGCGGCCACAACTTTAACTTGTGAGGTACCTATGTTGTTTTTTTTTTTTTTTTTTTTTTTTTTTTTTTTAAATTTAACTTAGGACAAATACCCTTAGAAAAAAGCCAGAGGGACATCTCACTTGTAGGACTAACTGTGATGGGACAAAAAAAGAGTAGGAAAAAATTATTATGAAAACTTGCAGTAGAAAACAACGTTTTAGGAAAAATGACTTGCCGCCCTTCAAATTGCGGTGGAAGTTTGTTCAGCTTATATACATAAAAGCCGTTTTCATTGCGCTCTTTGGCGCTCTGCAACATCCAGCCGTCAAAGTCCCATAGGGACCTGTTTAGCAACTAAGGCTTAAAGTTAACTATAACTAGAGAGCGCCCAAGATCTTAGTAATAATAAAAAAATATAAATAACGTCCATCAAAAATCTATTTTCTTTTACGTAGAAATGATGATCATTTCTCTGGTGTGGATAGTAGAATCTACTGGTAAGAGGCATTACCTGGTGTCTGCTAGGTGCAGGGACGCACTTCTTGGGCAAAAGCTGAAGGAGTTCATGGCGAATGTTAGAGTTGAGAAGGCCGTAAACGATTGGGTTGGAGACAGCCGATGACATGGCAATGAGGTGGCAGATAGCCAACGGCAGGTAAATGTCCTGCACCTGGAGCTTGTACCCGACGTCGTCCTGCGGGTACATAACGTCCACTGCCAGCATGTAAGCATTCAATGGCAGCCATGACAACAAGAATAACAGCGCAACACCTGAATCAGAAAAATAGTGAATTTTAAGAGGGAAATTCAATGGTAAGGCGCAAAAACAAGATGTGATCAAATCTACGAGAAGCTGAATCAATATTCAGAACATTGTCGTAAAGTTTTTGAACGTTTTTCGTTATTCTCAAAAAATTCAGACTGGCATTGAGACCATCATCACAGTCAACTTTGTTCGATAACTCATTGTATTTTTTATTGTGATAAGGGTTCACCTCCAAAACTTATTGTAGAGATATCAATGCATTGTTAATCGCACAGACCGTTAAAACCGAGGTCAACAACAATATTTTCCCTGTAGGCTTACACAGTTTTGTATAGAATTAGTTGTAGGGAAGTTGAAGTTGTGTTTTGTCATAAAACCTACATATACACCAGCTTAATCTAACCTACCAATTTTCAGCAGAAATGCCCTAATTTCCTCAAACCTTAACTATCATCCCTAACCTAGTACCTACCCTTCTTTCTCCATTGCACTGCATTTAAAGTTACATTTAAGTAACCCCGGTACTGCATTTAAATTTATCGAACGGGCGATAAAAATGCGTTCTAGGATAAGATTTTGATTAAGTGTGATGAAAAATGACCTCACCAGCGTATAATTGCCTCAACACTTGAGGCAGAAGTGTGTTAACCCTCTATGGCATTGATAAATTTTGGATTTTGGATTCTGAGGGACGCAAATATATGCTGTAGCTTTCGTAAATACATTAAGTTTCGATTTTTTCCCTCAAAATTTCAAAATTTTGGAATTATTGTTTTCGAAAACAAAAACACTGATAAAAATTTGCAACATCATGCCACAGAGCAATGATTCTATTTTTTAAAAAAAAAACTACCCAAAAAATGTGTATTAACGAAATCGTTACTGGAAATATATGACATTATTTCCCCCCTTATTTTTCTCCTGCACTGGAAAAAAAAACACATTGAATCTAGAGTCCAGACTCTTAAAACATCGACAAGAAAAAATACTCTTAATTCAATCAGATTTAAGCTTAAATCAAGAACCAAGCCCCTTAATTTGAGCAGATTTTCTTTTGATTGAAGCTTAAATTTGATTGAATCAGGAGTCCTTTTTCTTGTCAATGTTTTCAAGAGTCTGAACTCTAGATCCAATGTGTTTTTTTTCCGATGCGGTGCCATTGTCTCGGGCTGCTTCATAAAATTGTGTATCTATGCCATTAAATAGGCTCACAAGGTCTGTCCTTTCAAAGAATTGCTCGATGTGTTGGTTTGGGGGCAAGTGAGGAGCGTGTTTTACCTGCGAGTATAAAAGTTGTGCGCTTGTTGCGAGCAAGTTCGCGGGCGGCTCGACGGCCGTCGGACTGGGTGCGAGCGTGGCAGTGGAGGTGGGCGGCGATGGAGAGGTGAACCAGGATGAGGACGGAGGCCGGCACGACCGCCTGGCAGAGCAACACCACCACCGTATAAACCATCCGTCCCGTCTGGCTCGGCCACTGCTCCAGGCACACCTCGTACATCACGAAATCCTCCCCGATCTTCGCCGGGATCACCGCCTGCATCATAAAACACATTCCAATCACAACCAACATGCCGCAGACATAGAACCATAACCTATCAGCGGTCCCTCGATGAGATGCCTCCCTTTGGCAATACCGAGGAGACAAACGAACATTAAAAGCCAAGAAGGTTGAGGACCTTCAAGTGACAAAGTTAGTAATGGACCAATAGACAAGGTACGAATTTAAGCATTCTAATACATGTTTTTTGACCAAAATTTCACGTAGAACACGATGCGCACAACGAAAATTACCGAAATCAACTCGTTATGAAGATATTTAATGATTCTTGATGCGTGAATTCAAACCACCCGCTCATGAAAACTCAATGCTCTACGTAACTCACATCGCGCGCTAAACGTTATCATGACAGTCTCTGCGATATAAAAATCTGGCAACCTTAATCTTGACGCTTTAGCTCAGCTATTGCAAGTTGTTTATGGTTTGAACAGCACATGGTGGGAAATGAACATCGCTTGATTGAGAAGTTTGCTGAAACCGTTGTTTCGGCTGGCGGTGCCGAAAATAAGCGCGACGCGACGACGATTCTTTCACTACACAACCTTAGTTGGTTGTTAGGTGGTTCATCCCCAGAGAAGTCTCCGATAGGGCATTCCTAGGGACAAGTCCACTAGAAGAATTGTCAAGCAGAAGCAAGAGAAAGAGTGATAGAGAAAATGCATATAAATCGGAGGATAGGAAGAAACTGGAAATGATAGGTTGCCAGAGAATGTAGAAGGAGTAGGATGGCGGGAGAGACGAGGTAGAGAGGTGAAAGAGAGAGACGATGCTGAGGGATGGTAGAAGACTGAGAAAAGGTAAAAGCGAGGAAGAGAGAGAGAGAGAGAGAGAGAGAGAGAGAGCACGAATGAACACTTCACTTTAATGATCTCCTGAGCGAATTCGCCTTAGAGTAAAAGTCCTACGGAAATCCTCTGGACGAAGAGAGAAACACTATACTTCCTGTTATTTACCTTTTACGAATGAGTAAATCCTTGGTTGAATACCGTAGCAAGCTGTGAGGCTGGATGCGAGAATCCTTGACTTGAGGTGATGAATCCTTTGCATGAGGCGATAAGTCCTGGTATGATAGCGGAACCACCCGAGCCCAGGGGCGCGCAACCTTAGCACTATCCCCGGGGGAACGGGACTGAAGATACGAAAAGGATATAAAAAACCACGTAATGCGTATGGGTTTTTTGGGTTGCACTTAGCATTTGAGATGACCTACCGATTTAAGTCATGCAACCGCAAGATTCTTAATTAAATAATTTAAAATAAATTATTTAATTGATGCAATCGGTGAAGATGCGCGAAGCGCGATCTCGCGGTGGCGCTCTGAACTGAGCACCGTTCCGTGCCGCGGCAGACTCGGTGCCGGCGGAGGCGGCGGCGGGCGGTGGCCGCGACAACCGTTGTAGTGCACGATTTGACTCACGTAGAGCTTTGAGTTTCTTGTGAGCGGGCAGTTCAAACTCCTCGTAACCAATGTGAAATATAAACGTAAATATCTTTGTTAGGAGTTGATTTCGGTAATTTTCGTTGCACGAATCGTGTTCTACGTGAAATTCTGGTTAAGAAACATGTATTAGAATGCTTAAATTCGTACCTTGTCTATTGGTCCATTGAGAAACTTTAAAGGGAAATAATACAGGGAGACGTACAAAAATATACACTTTGTACATAAATAAACAAGATAGGCTTCAAGACTTTAAAGTGTAAATTAGGCGTTCCAGTTACATTCTGTCAAATGTAGTTCCACCCGGTATAAACAACAATAAACACCTTTGTTCAAAAAAAAAAAAAATTAATAAATAAATAAATAACAAGGCTCTCGAAAAAAAAACCTATCAGCGGACTGCGTATTGAAATTAATAAACGAAACGATTGACTTAACATACACAGAGAATGGGAGGGGCGTGCCTGGTGAGGAGGTTGTGGTTCTTAAAGCAAAAAAAAAGTGCATCAGGAAACTCTAGAGGTGGCTATTTTAATGCCCCTAACAGGAGAACATTCTTTATTAGGTAAGAAAGACAACCAATTAAGTAAAATGGGGATAAAAGATGGCTTAAAAACTTATGTTCATGGTACTTCTTATGATGGCTCTAATGAAAAGCAGGTACTTGCTGCAATGGAAGGAGGAAGAGGATTAATCCTGTGGTTGGACCACGTTTTGCTATAAGGAACCACTATTTCTGGCTTATATTAGGAACAGCATACATGCCATTGGTTTCCCTATGCAGAAAGGTTCTTTTGTGAAAAAGCCATAGATAGTGGTTCCTCCTTGCAAAATGCAAAATCCAGTTAATCCTGTAGGTGGAAGAGGGTGGTCGCTATAGACAAAGGAGTTAGGTAATAGACTGGACAGCAACTGACAAGAGACCGTCCCTACCTACAGTTAGCCCATAATTTTCACTCCTAGTCTGTAAAAACCTCCCCTTTTAACAAATAGAATCGCTCCATACTCCATATGTTTTTATTCAATTATTGCCAGTTAATATGACGTATTTCTGCCAAACAGAACTAAGTGCATTATGACGTGAGCCCTGTTCTGCGTATATTCTTATGGGTCTTAGGGATCATGTTTTCATGCACATAGTTCCGATTGGTCAAAATAGTCCAATTAATGACTATTATTACGTTTCAAGTCAATTCTTGTCAAGAGTATTGAACGTTTAATGCATGGACTTGGTCGATATTCCACGGATAATAGCCTAATTCTCTCAGTTTTAATTCGCATCTGTAAAAGAGACCCTACGGTTTACCGCGAAAACTTTGGATATCACTTCGCAAAAAAGGCAACAGAGCACCCCTATTGAGTCATCAAAGCCTCGCAAACGGTCGCAAAACAAACTGCAGCCGGAGACGCATAAATATCTACGTCTCGTTCAAAGGGTGTTTGCGGCTGTCGCACTGAGAAAGCGACGAGAATTTATGCGGTTATTTTGAGTCAACTATCAGGGAGTATCGATTGGTATCGCAAATAAACGCCGTGGCTGACCTTGAGCCAAACGCTCTTGAAAGGATTCAGCCGTTCTTCTTCCTGTTTCATGCGGCATGAAGATACATCGGGCAAGTCTTTCCTTGAAGGGCCCCGCAAATTAAAATGCACCCCTAATGGGGGGCCCGAACATCATGGCAAGCATTAATTACGTGGCTCAGGGGCATGGATTGAGTCCATTCAAGAGGGTGGCATTTTCTAGCAGGAAGGTCTTTCTACTTTGTAGTATTCGGCTCGGGTTAAGTTAGTACGAACATGAAATGGACTGCATTTTGTAATTTGGAACTATAAATTCTAGCCCTTCTGGAAAAAACACTTGTGTGCATAGGGAAACTAATGGCACATACGTTGTTTTTAAACCGGGCTAGAATTTATAGTTCCAAATTGCAAAATGTAGTCCAAATTTCGACGGTGAAACTACCAAACCACGTATCTCGGTTTGCGACGTCGCAGACTTCCTGTCATACTTTATTTTTTAAATGAAAAACTACTTAACATCCAATCTTGAAAATTTCTGTGATTTTTCCTCTTTGTGCGGAGAAAATTCCGTGAAAATTTAAAGGAATGATATTGATTTGGTCTACTTCAAAAAAATAAAATGTGAGCGTAGATTTTTAAACACCGCAAACGAGATACGTGGTTTGGTAGTTTCACCGTCGATTTGTCTTCTTGGCGGCGCACAGTGGATCGAGTCAATGGGTGAGGTCGGAGAAACTTTGGAAACTTTAAACACTTATAACACCGTTTATACAAATTCTGAGGTCTTAAATATGGTCCCATTGGTTTTCTTATAAAATTTACCTTAAGAATTACCCTTTAAAATTTAAAATGTGACGCAATGAACATAAATATGTGCAGTTCTAGTCAAAAACTTCATGTCCGACCTCTCTAATTGACTCGATCCACTGTGTGGCATAGCGTTTTAAGGACCTTAAGAATATGTTTCATTGAAATATATGTTATGGCTCATATCGTAGGGGTAAAATCGTGCTTAAGGTCAATCAAATATAATTTTTCCAGCACGGTGTTAGCAAAAATGGATGTAAAAAATACGTGCACACGCTGCGATATTCCATTTTATATCTTTTTATGAAACATAACCACCACTATTAAAAATTGGCAGTATATGAATATTATTTTCAGTGTTTATAGGCACTACACCACGGGCGCCCTGGTAAAAATTGACGATAGGAGCTGCATTTCAAAATACCATAGGAGTTCTTATAGCCGACTAAAGAAGGTTATTGAAAATCATATAGCTGGCTGTAGAAAGCGGAGCAAATCATACAGCCGGGCTACAGGAAGCTATAAAAAAGTATACAGTCAGGCTGTAGTTCCTATCGCCGGGCTTTACGCTTTATCGCCAATGGCTATAAAATGCTATAAGAAATTGTGTAGAAATTCGTGTGCTTTGGAAACCATTAAGTTTGATACGGAACTACCTTAATATTTACAAAACACACATTATATTTTCCTTTAAAACATTTTTTTTTTCATCAATAAAAATGAGAATAGTCGATACAGAATGTGCAAACATTTCAAAATCATGAGTTGAAAAACGCTGACTCCGCGAGATTAAATATGAGAGCCCAACACAAAGCGGAGCGGCGACGCACTGGCGCCTTCAAACCTAACAGGGATACTTCACGCATTGCGCAATGCGTGAAGTATCCCTGTTAGGTTTGTAGGCGCCAATGCACGTTTCGCACTCTCTGCCCGCCCTTTACTTTATCGTCTGGCTGTTGCTTACTCACCATCGGCTATAAAAGGCTATAAGAAATTGTACAGCCGGCTATAGAAGCTATTGGAAATCTTACAGCCGGCTTTAGGTCTATGGTATTTTGGAACACAGATTCTACTGCCAATTTTTACCAGGACGGGACAAGGAACGTTTTGTGGGGAGAAGTATAGGGTCACCTCATTAAGGTGGGTCGGGGGGGGGGGGGGGGGGGGGTATTTTAAGATAATTCATCAGCGGGGAATCCCTAAAAATTCCCTTATCCAAAGGAAGGTTTGACGGATTTTTCTAGCTCTTAAGATAGGCCGAGATGCCTCTTCGGGAAAATTTTTCAAAACTTATTCGTCTTAGGAATAGATCTCAGCTGTCCTCGACAAAGAATTTATTGATTCCCAATGCTATATAGATAGTAGACGTGTTACGCACTTAAGTAAAGATCTCACACTTTTATTGGAAGGGGCCAAGTAGATTTCTAGGGGAAGGTTTCCCGCCTACTGTTTCCACCGATGGGCATCACCCTGAATATATGAAGTACGGCACTGGATTTACAAGTATATATTCACATACTCTCATAGATTTCTCATCAAATTATCTTTAATAGGTTTGCTCACCGTCTTGTCGGGACGAAAAACTGAAAAAGTATCTTACAAGGAAAAGGAAAATAAGAGGGCCTAAATGCCGCTCTACGATTTCAAGTATTCTTGAGTGAGTTATTCTACTCTGCGTCACTGATCATTATCAAATTTGGGACAGTGTTCTTGGTGGGAAATTCGCTTTGAACTTCGAGTTTTTCGCCGAGATCTAATCGCGTTAACGCTTTGATGGCAGGTTCCTAGATGGAAAGTTATGGGTTTCCTCAGGATGTGGAGATTTTCCTATCAGATTAAAAGTTTTGAAAACTGTACCGACAAATAAGTGAAACTTTTAAAACTAAGCCTTGATGAGAGGTTTCTGGCGAGTCACGATTTTCTCATTTCCTCTGCTTTCTTGTGAGTTATAAAAGGAAAAAAGAAAAGTTTATTTGAAGGGCGTGAAATGTTTTATCCAATCAAACGAAATCCGAGGCTCTAATCACGTAATTGTCTCCTCTTGTGTATCTTGTCCGGAAAATCAGAGGCTGTTTCTCAGGGACACGTCTCACCTGAGAGTTACATGACTGTGCTAAAAGTACTCTGCCGTCCTGAGAAAAAACGTCGTATGAACCTTCAGGCGTTGCTAAATATTCTGTAATAAGACACGAATTCGCTGGTAAACTTATGAATATTTTTCTACCAATTTTTTAGAGAATTTTGTTCGTATTTTTATCTAAAGTTCCTGAAAATATCAAAGAAAAATATTCATAATTTTTCTCGAAAATACAAATTTCATCAAAAGAAATTTGGCAACCCTCGAATGTTTATACGGCGTTTTTCCCTAGCACGGCAGCATTTGTAAGATGAGTGCGTATCAAGTTTTACGACTAAAACACACTTTTTCTCAAACTAACACCGTATCCAAAATTGTCTGCTGCTCAATTTGTGATTACTCATAACTTAATTTGACGGGACACGGAGAACATGACTGGAAACTTAACGGTGCGTCATACAGCTGCATTCAGTTATATCTAGCTTCTTTTATTTTCCCTTCCCTACGTGTCAGAAACATATTTTCGGAAACTTGCATCATTATTAGTGTGAAAGTAAACAAAGTATGAGTTGAGATATTACACATTTCTCTCCAAATGTTTTCTGGAGAACTTCATAAAACTGACAAGAAGGAGATGAGCTATATTCGTAGGAAAAGTTTTTAATCTAAAATACAATGTATATTCCCATACGCGCAAATAAATGCAAATTTCATTCGTATAATTTAAGTCTCGCGAACAAGTTTGCTTAGATTACACCCATGAATAAGCAAGTTTGTGGCTTTAGACAGTGACGCCATGTAATTTTGCATAAAAAAATATTCTTGTAACAAGACTTTTACGCGCCAGAATACGTGGTTTCCAGGCAATTTCAAAGCGCGCTACTACTGAAGATATTTAATGATGTTTTCATTTTTCCAGGGTTCTCTTTAACACGAGTCTTGATCGTGCAATTGAGATTTCGCGTCATCATGATTCACTCCGAACTAATTAACATGAAACATGATTTCCTATAGCATCGCGTCAACACATTTTTGTGTAGGTTCCTGTAATTGAGACATGAATCGTAAAAATTTCGTAAAGTAAACTAGTAATATTGTTATTGTTATACCTGATAGTAGGCAACCGGGAGAGCAAACCAGGCGGAGAATACCCATACAAGAAGGATGGACCAGTATACTCTTCGACGACTATTACTGGCGTCACAGCCGCGTACAATAGTGAAGTATCGGTCCAGAGCGATGACCGTGATTGTCCCGATTGAAACCATAATATTGGTTCCCTGAATAAAAGGTACCAGCTTGCACATGCACGCACCTGTCAGAACAAAAATGACACTGAATCAGTGAGAATTAAATTAGCTGATGAAAATGGAGCGAACACGCTAATTTCCTGCGTGACCCAAAGGTCCTGAACTACCGCGATAGCCTTTTCTCTAATCGAAAAATCGAGGTGTACCTAGATCCATGCAACCTATTTTTGACCCCAATAGTTTTTGAGAGACACCTTGAAGGGGAGCTGGCAACCTAGTTCCTGATCCGGGAAATAATTATTTGCATGTTCCATTTTCAGCTTTAAAGAGACACTCAGAAATGTTAACAAACCTGAGTTTCTGGAAATAAAACAAGGCTTCGTAAAAATAAACATGTTGTCCCTTCCTTAACGATGAGATATATGATTGATGCTCCGCAGCCCGTGACAAGATTACAATAATAAAACAAATTACTCAGCTGGTAACAAGGCTAATTTTCATGTACTACAAAACGTCTCGGCTGAAAACTCAAAACATGTTTTATCCAGAATGATTTGGCAACTCTCGGATGTTACTATGGCGTTCTTCCTTAGCATGACAGAGTCAACTTACCAAGGACCCAGGAACGGCGGAGGAGTTTGGCGAGGGTGAAGGGCATGCAGATGAGGCAGAGGGTGAGATCCGAGACGGCGAGGTTGACGATGTATATGTTGCGGGGGGTTTGCATCTGAGCGCGGCGGACGACGACGAAGCAAACGACGCAGTTGGCGACGACGCCGACGGCCAGGAGGAGCACGTAGGCCACCGTCAGGAGGAGCGAGGTCCGGTCGTCCAGGTTCTGCGTCCCGGCCAGGGACTGCTCCAGCAGGACCTTGAAGGCCTCGTCGTAGGGGAAAAGGGTTTCGTTCGGCCGGGCCATGTTCATCCGCGACCAGCAGGCCACGTCGAAGTTGCTCAGGTTGCAAACCATCGGCCGAGGCACCTGCAACATCACCACCATTACACAGATAATATCCGTGTTTCATGTTATATTTGGACGCATTTATGCTAAAAGGAAGTGGACGTGGAAAGATGGGGTGTGTTTGTGGAAGCTAACTAAGAAACAATGTAAAAGTGGTTATTGATCATTTTGAGAAAATTTAAAAGCGGGATTTGACATTAAATCAAAAGGGACTGAGCGCTAACTCGTGAGCCATGGACATGCGACAAGAGCCTTGTGTACAGGGCTCATGAGTTAAAGACGAGCGAGCACGACAACGGAGACGGCCTCGTTGCCGCTGACGTCACTGGCGCTTTTAAAGTCCCACTCATAAGCAACTCGCTCCCTGTGAAACCCATTTTCGACTCCATGCCTAATAGGCAATGGCTGGGAGGATGGGATCTGTAGTCCAGTTAAAGAAAGGAGAAGAGGGAGAAATCGTTTTTAATCTCGCCTAACACAAGGCGGGCGCTAGTCGGCACGAAACGCATAGCGCCTACAAGAGTGCAGGAATACTTCACGCATTGCGTCTAAAACAGTGCGGTCGCTGGTCGGTGCGGGAGGCATATTAGCGCCTACAAGAGTGCAGGAATAGAGGAGCAGGAGAAGAAAAATCACGGCAGTTTTAAAGAGTATCCGTTGAGTAGTTTCCCGTTTAAAAAATAAAGTATGACAGAAAGTCTGCCACGTCGCAAACCGAGTTATGTGATTGCCGACTTACACCGTCGATATGTTGGATTTTATGTTTTTAACCCTCTACTGCATCGCGTAGCCAAATGGCAACAGCAATTATTTAATTCGTAGTAAATTCGGGAATGCTCATATTGGTACCCTGTGTGGATTATAGGGAACTCAACCGCATTACCAACCTAAAAAAAATTGTGGTGGGGGGAACTGAAGCTGCCAAATCAACTAAATAATCATGTTTTTCCAACGGGACCATTTTTGAGGAGTAGCCGCGAGGAGCCCAACTTTGAAGGATGTTTTGAATGACTTGGCTTGCCTTCAGAGACGGGAAAAAAATCACAGTTATGGCCCATACGGTCTAAATTGAAAATTTCCTGGTCCGATGATAATAAAAACAATTTAAATATTATTTTCGGCTCAAAAACGGCAAGATGCCATATGGCAACAACATACCGGCAAACTTCTGGCCCAACACTTTTCCTGTTGCCATATGGCAACAACATACTGGCTCCGACGCAATCATGTGTCGTGCTGTCCAAAAACGGAGCTTACAATTCATCATTAGATGCTTTTTGAATATGGTAATGTTAGAAGAATCAAAAAAACTTTTTTTCTTAGTTTTTTTTCCAAAAGTCCCGCACAAGAGTTATGCCCTGGCATCACCATTCCACTCCTGCCCTGTATGTTGTTGCCATATGGAAACAAGTGGATACTCTGGCAAGAAATTACTACATGTTGTTGCCGTATGGCAATGAGCTTTTTTAAGCTTCAAAAGTTAAAGAAAAAATTGAAATTTCAAAAAAAGCTCAAAGACGTGTCTTTTTAATTACATTTTACTATAACATATATTTTTTTCATCAAAATCGGCGTCGCAAAAAAATTCCATGCAGTAGAGGGTTAATTATGTTTAAATAATGGTATATCGGAACTGTAACTGCACGAAAAAAATATTTCCATGGTAAAACCAGCGTATTAAGACCGTTGAGCACAAGAAATCTACTTTGTTAATGTTCTTTCTTTGCGTTCCTGTATCTTTCCTTTTTCCTCTCCCTGTTTTTTTCTTTTTTGAAAAATATGAAAATACTGTCATGCACGTGTATAAATCAGCCTGGCTTGTTATGTACGAGACGTTTTTCAATTCATGTAATTTTTTCTTCTTTCTTTGTTTGAGTTATTTTTATGGCTTATATTACATTTTTAAAACGTAAAGCCAACTTTAGTCGCTTTTTATTGTTCGTAGACACAGTCCAACACTAGGTTTTTCAAATTGTCACGGATTTAGGCTGAAATTATCATGGCTCAGGATGGTCAAAAGTATTTTAAGGATCGAAACGAGTTCACACATTGCCTTCCAATACTTCGTTGTTACTGGAGTCTGAGATCAAAAGTAAATGGGCATCTTTCACTGAATGGATCGCATTTAGCACAAAGGAACCAGCGCAATTGCAGTGTTGTTAAAATGTTGCTTCTTCATGATTACGATATCTAAAAAAATCTCCCAAAGTAGCGAATGGTTTTTGCATACTACCAAAAAATTGTCGGTTTTAAAGGGAAATAATTGGGTAAATTTTAATACTGTACATATATTTAGTATTTTTAAAAGGAAAGACGAATTTGCATGATTTTGAAAACACTGTAATCAAGCTGGTTCTGCTTTGCAGAATGCAATCCATATATTGTCAGTTGATGGGGAGAAAATCGAATACTTATCTGCAGGAACAGGTTCTACTCGGCGTTAATCCCTGGAAATTTGAAAAGCCTGGAGCATGGATGTCCCTATCGCCCTGATGTCTACGGACAATAAATCTACTCTATGGATGGCTGTAAGTTCTTTACGGAACAGAAGTCAATAATTTTTAATAAAATAATCGAAATTTTTGAAAAACAGTAAAAACTGTATTAAAACTTTTATAACTTTTTTGAAAAACTCACGCTTTCACTAATTTGCCAGTGAAAATAACAAACAAATTTGTAAAACTAAGAAATTAGTGAAAGCGTGAGTTTTTCAAAAAAGTTTTAAAAAGTTTTAAAAGTTTTAGAAGCCAATAAGCCAGCCTCCCCCCCCCCAAAAAAAAAAAAAAATTGAATACTTACATTATCATGTTCTTCTGGAATGGGTTCAAGCGCATATTACTCGGCCAGTGGTTCGCAGCAGCCAGGAACTCGCCAATCTCCGAAGTGGGGCAACGGTTCGTCAACACCGGATGACGGCATTTCCGCCCAGTTTTCCACGGAAATACGCTGGACCGGAATCACTCTCCGCCAACGGCGCATCGACGGCGAGCCGACGACTTGCAGTGCTGAAATTTGATCCGCAGCATTTTCAAAACCCTTTTACCTGCAGCGCACTCTCTCGTGAAATGATCGCGTTCTCTCGTCTGAAGCAGTGTATGATTAAAACCCTGTTACTCACTGCACTTCACAATTTAATCAAACCTACAAACGCTCGCCCTTCCGCGAGGACTACTTAAACCCAATAAATGTGTTGCGATTTGATTACTCAGTATTTTAAGAGCGTTTTGAAGAAAATATTTTCAAAGCAGCATTAGTGGGTATCATTGTCTAGATACATATAAAAAATACGCTCAACTGAGTGATACGTTTTTAATAACAGCAGTGATTTGACTGGAACACCACGGAATAATGTTATGTTTAATAATAGGTACGCCCCTCCTATCCGAGCATGTCACTTTATCTAACAGATTACTTGATAGGGAGTTCTTTCATCATAATTTAGGTTATAATTTTTGCACTAAAATATGGTTTGAAAAATTCTTGACCATCAAAGTTTAGATCAAAAAGAGGGGCGTAAGTAGTATAAAGCAGTCACTTCTCAGGCACGAGTACCTCTTAAATAGGTACAGATAATTCTTTTTTAAACAAATAAATTGAAATAACACTGTCACACAAAATCTCGTCAGATAGTCAAATACTTCCAACATCGATCCCAGAATAATCTCGGCCAACGCACGTGGTTGAGGAATCTGACCAGATTTTCACGACATTCGGAAATTGTGTCTATAATAACGCGAGGCTCAGAAAAACTTCCACGTGACTATTTCCAACACACCCCGGAATCCCGAAAAGCTTCAAACTGCCTTTTACCGGACAACTATGTCGAGTGACGCCTGGATCGTATCTCGGTCATACGTTTCCAAACCGAACGTCAGTTATACGTACGAAATTCGCGAATATTTTCCAATTGTGTCTCGATCGGGAATCAAGAATCGCGAACTTCATAAGTGTCGGTTTTCGACCGGAAAGATTCAATATTTCAACGTTTCCGCGCTCAAATACATCGAACGAATAAACTCAGGACGATCGTAGACGACTGGTCATTTCGGGAGTGAAGATCGGCGGATGCATGACGGGCCCGGTCGTTCACTGGTTGCTCCAGCTGCGCCGCTCGCCGGGCAATGGTCCGTGAATCTGAAACAGTCAAACAGATTGTTTGCTCAGTAAACAAGCTCCGAATATACGGTAGCGCAAAGCGGGTCCGCTTAAATGTTTGGAGAGAAGCCCGTCTCCTCATAAGTGTCGCCGGTTAAGGTGATTTGTGATAAGCTATTTTTGCCTCTTGCCCCAAGGGCAACTGGACGGAAATCGGATATTTTTCATTTCGTCCTTTCGACGTACGCCGACCGATTGTTGGTGCGGCTCGCTCAATGGACCTGAAAAGGCAATTGATTTGCAAAAATTCCATGATTCAGGAAATTGTGGGTATTCGAAGTGTATCGACATGAAACTACCAGACCACGTATCTCGATTTACGACGTTGCAGGCTTTCTGTCTTTTTTTATTTTTTAAATGGAAATATACTTAACTTTAAGTCTCGAAAACTTCCGTGATTTGTCTTCTCTGTAAGGAGGAAACTCTGTAAAACTTCATATATTGATATTCATTTGTTCTCCTTCAAAAAAATAAAATTGGAGTTAAAATTTTCAAAAACCGCAAACTAGATAAGTGGTCTGGTAAATTTACCGTCGATATGTAAAATCAAATATTTGGTGAGGAAATTTTGAACGATGCAGGCTGAGTTTATTATTAGGTTCTCTCACTTTGTTACTCGATGGGTTTTTTAAAAATATGTTCTATGTTTTTATAAATTTTTGTGAGAAAACTGACTCGCGAGAAAATACCGTCATTTCTAAGTATATCCACTCATACAGCAACCCAACGAGAGCTCGACATTACTCGACAAAATATACCTCAGTTGACGACCAGTCCGGCCCGAAGATTAAGATCCGGCGATCCGGCGGTTAAGATTTCACGTGTAAGCGGTGATGTACTACCTATTACTTCAAAAAATAGAGGAATAAGTATAAAAGGCAACGTTTAATGAATAATCAATACCTAATTGAGGAGGCGTAAGTAAATTAAACTATTCTCTTATGTTGGTAAATCAACCAAGTTTTCACTCCTTAGGCTGTTTAGGTTTACTTTTAAGGTTAATTACCTTTTCACCCTCATCTTTGCCTCCAACATTTTTTCAGAAAGCTCATTCACGGAAATTACACGAATGTTCCTTTCTTTCAAACGATACCAATATATTTGATGAAAGGTGAGTGACTTTATTTAAAGTGTCGAACCTCAATAATTACGCCTTTCCATTTTCAATACATTCGAATAAGACGAAACATTCTGTCGACAGATTTGAATTGACAAAGAGTGCATTAAGAATAATTAATTTTATTCAAGCTCTCGCTCAAAAGATTACTCGTTCAACCAACAGCCTGAATAAAGAAGTTAATCAAAAGCTATAAAATTGAATCAAAGATCAATCCTCTTTTTCCGATCTGCTGCAGTCTCAAGGGGCGAATCTTTTCCACTAGTTGATTTGGAGAGACACTGTTGTCGAGATGTTTGGAAATGGAATATTTTAGTATAATGATTTACAGTTAAAATTACTTCTCACATTAATTTGATCATAGTTTTTTAGTGGGTTCTATCTTAGGTCTATTGGAGGCTCACAACAGATTAAAAATATTTGTTGATGTTTTGCCACTGTCTTAAATGATTGTGTTTTGGAGGGACCAATTAATTAACCTTACTTTTCAAAAATAATCTTCGCATGAATCATAAATGTTTCGTGTACTGATTTTTTCTCTTTTGCTCCATCTCTTGGGCCTTATGTTGGATATATGGGATATGAACTAATATTAAAAAATAAGAAAAGAGATAAGTTAGAATGTCGCGCTTTCAGGTATCAGAGCCTCTTAAAACCAGCAAATTTTGCATGGAAATGATTGGCTTGCTTGTGAGTGAGTGCTTTTATAAAGGCCGAATGCGATAATCTCAATTCTGTTCCTCCAAAATTTGCAGCTCAAAACTTTATGAATGTAGGGGATTCTAAAATGTGCCGATGACAATCAAACAACGCCCTCGGTGAAATCGAGTTGCGCACTTACATTAAAGTTTGTCTGCAGTTCCAGAGCAATTTGGATTGTTTTATACGGACCTCTATAATTGAGTTTCCATCCGCGGGATGGAAATGCAAAGCGACAGCCCAATAAACCGTTATTTCTGCATCTCCGTCGTTTTATACTCCATCCCGGTGAATGCTAAGGAGGATAATCCTATAAAAATAAAACGGCATTCGAAAGCCCATGGCACTGATGCCCGCTTCATCAAATGAATTTCTCTCCCATGAAAGAACTATCTATTGCCACAGCTAGATGATTCTTGAAAGCCCATGAGGGAGAGCCTTGATGGCTCTTATGTCAAATTGCATTTGACAATAAAATGAGCAGTTATGATTAAAATAAAAGCACAAAACTGATAACTTTTAGAAATGTTACGTTACAATTGGAAAACCCAAATCAGATTTTGCTTCGTATTTTAGATTTTAATTCGAAGTAAAAATAATGTATAAGAATGTGTGCGATTCCAAGGGATCAAACACTGGAAAAAAAACACATTGGATCTAGAGTCCAGACTCTTAAAAACATTGACAAGAAAAAATACTCTTGATTCAATCCGATTTACGCTTAAATCAAGAACCAAGCCTCTTAATTTGAGCAGATTTCCTTTTGATTTAAGCTTAAATCTGATTGAATCAAGAGTCCTTTTTCTTGTCAATGTTTTCAAGAGTCTGGACTCTAGATCCAATGTGGTTTTTTTTTTCCAGTGCAGGGTTATCAAAAGAAATTTGCAACGTCTAATGGCTCACACGGCGTGCTCCTTTAGCACGGCAGGATTGAGGTGAAGAAAGTAAACACGCTCTACCGTGCTGATTATAGCCAACGTCACAGGGATTGAACTTCATTTTAAAGAGGAAGAGCTTTTGTTGAAATCCGTTACAAAGACACGAATCCTCTCTCTTAGATAGTCATGAAGTAATATCGCGTGATCTCGAGTAATTTATTCCATCCCGTTATCTCCGGTTTCCGGACTCTCCGTCTTTGATCCGGGACTCAATATGTCCATTTACACTATCGGCATCTTGCAATCCCTTTACTAATCCGGAGCCATTGAGACGACTTTCAAAAGCGTCGACGCGTCATCGGGGAATCCTTTGATATTTTAGGTTTCTGGAAACTGCTCCGAAACCATCCACATTTATCAGGGGCGTATCTGGGTTGTTTGCTTCAAAATTCAAGAAATGAAACAGGTGTGTCACGTCATCTTTGCTTCAAGGATTTTGTTTGTAGCTTCAACCAGTGCTCCCATTTCCCGGAGCTAGTTTCGAATTCCGGAATTTTGGAGATTTTCCGGAATAATTTCTCAGAACTTTTGAAATTCCTGAAATGTTCCGGATCTTTTGCATTTTCCGGAACTTTCTGGGAGCTTTTGAAAAAATCTAAAAGGAATCGCGGAACTTTTGACTGTCATAAAGTGGGAGGGATTGGAACGAAAAAGTTCCGAATCCCGGAACTTTTGACGGACATGGAATGGGAACTCTGGCTTCAACTTTGAAAAATATTGAGAAATTAAAGCTGACTAAGATATAATTTTAGACGATTTCCGACAGAATTCAACTTTTATCCGAGAATAATGTTGTTTAGTGTGATGCGGCGTGCACGAACGATCAAAAGGAAAACAAACGAGGCACATGCTCGGAAATTAAGAATTAATCAAAAATGAATCGTGCCCTTTTTTTAGGAAAGTGAAAGTCCAAAAAGTCGGCCGTATTTTTAGATATCCATCATAGTGAATGGGTATTGAGAATTTCGGTTTTTTGCGTGACGAATCTTAAAATTAATTGAATATTTTAGAACGCAAAAATGCGAAGGTACGAACGCTCATAGACCATGCAAGACGAAATTAACATAGGAAACAAGGTCTGATGTATCAATGTATATTGAAGTGCACCCCTCTAAAAAAACAATAAAAATTAAATAAATAAACGAATAAGCAAACACGATTAAGATGAAAAGTACGAACATGAGATTGACAAAGTGAATGCCACAAAAAAAGGCCCGATAACTCTGAATCTGCCCCAAACCAACATGCAAAGATTCATCTCCTTTTCCTCAAATTATGTTCTGCTCTCAAAGACGACGGACGCAGGCTTGAGCGATGTCCATCTTTCCTCAATCTCCGGGGCGAAACTCTATGGAAGCGAATTGGTTCATTTTCTAAACAGGCTCTATGAATCGATGTAATCAGTCGTTTGATATTCGATTATTCAAATGCCCTCAAAGCTGCAGCGGTCAGCGATTCATCGCCCCGATTTCAATATCTATCGAATTGAATTTCCCTCACGCAACCGCTTAGCTACAAAAGGCCCCCGAAAGATTTATACGGTTTGGCCGGAATTATTCGTGCCTCGAGGCCTTTTTCGATTCAGCCCCTGATCCACGGATTATAGGTTGATTTTGGTGGAGAGGTTGCTCGCGTTGACCGGAATCGAGGTTTTCAATATTTTGTAAAAGCCATGATGGTATAAGCCCTCCGTCGCTCTTGTTATTAGTCGCCATCTCGCGCCTTGGGGCGCTAAATTAGACGAGACAAAGAAAGCCTATTGTTGCCATGCAAGAGTTACCGGAATTTTCGGAGCACATCGAAAGCTCTTGTTGGAGAAGGGATCAGATTTTAAGCACTGAAAAAAAAAATTCGGTGTATTTACTAAGAAAAGGGTAAAATTACCAAGAATTCAGGGTTCTATTTGATCCCAGTTTTTTCTTGGTAAAATTACCATTTATGGAATTGGTAATTTTACCGAGAAATATCGGTAAACTTATTGAACTTTCTCGGTAATTTTATTGGACCATGGTAAAAACGTCAATATTTTTCATCGACTGTGTTAGAATTACCGAGATTAAATGGCAAAGTTACCGGGAATTGATTACCAATAAAAGTGGTATTCTTACCTGAAAAAAAAAAAAACAGTAAAATTATCAATTTTTAGGTAAGCTTACCAGTCTGTCTTGGTAAAATTACCAATAATTGGTAAAAAAAAGTGAGATGGTAAAGGTACCAACGGACCT